TAAGACAATTTGGAATGATTATGAGGCATTTCAAAAATTTAACGGAATCTAATGATATTGCAAACGCTCTGCCCACCCGATTGGAAAGCCGACTGTGAATTTTTATTAGATCTCGTCTTGATGTATGCTCTATCTGAAATATCCAATCTTTATTTAAGGCACTGCTGAAAAATCAATAAAGCGAACAACGATTCGTGTTCTACAATCGTTTACAGACATGCTTGGTTAACTACTTTAATAGTTCCTAGATAATGTTTTTTAATATTTCTAAAGGTGAGCATATGAAAATAGAGAACTAAGGAAATAAATAAAGTTGGATTATATTGAAGGATAACAGAAGGCACTCTGGTATCAATGGAAATCAATTGGTAACTGCCTTAATGGACAATATGCAAAATAGGTTAATGGATGTAAATTCCGATAGTAATTAAAAATTCTATATTAAATTATACAAATTAATCCTTTTAGCTTATCTGATCTGGAATATTTAGAAAAAAATAGCTTCACATTTGTAATGGGAAAGGGAAACATCTTTGTTTCCAAATAAAGCTATATGTGGGGTTTGCAATAAATGAGATGAGGGAAGATATTGATGTTAATAACGAAAATAATAAATGACCCATGATTTGAAAGAGTTTAAAAAATGTATTAACACCATTCCGCTTAGTACTGTTGATTGTGAATGCGGCTTTTATCTTATGAATGTCACTATGACGGATTGAGTGCTAGTCTTATGATAAAGAATATTTCCAGTTTAATAATTGATATATATTAAAAAGTGCTGACAAGTCGCAGGTCTACAAACGATACCCAGTCAAGTAGTATTGTAAAACAGTTCGTTTTGAGCTTTTTAAGAACGGCTAGCAATATTTTATCCAGAAAAATATTACAAGCCTGAAGATTTTTCTCACAGTGGCACAAAGGCAGAGTTGTTAAACGCTACTTTTAAAAGTAACGCGCTACCGCTATCGCTATTTGTCAAAAAAAAGTAGCGCGCTATTAGCTAATATTTTTTTAAAGTAGCTTTAGCTACCTTTATAGTAAATATATAAAAATCAACATTTATAAATATTAAAATATAGTTGGTTTTGATTATTAAAAAATTTATGTAAAAAAAATAAATATTTATGGTGATTTGTTGCATTTTATAAGTTTTTACCTTCTGTTATGTGTCCAACTACTTGCCGTGGTACATATATATGATATTTTTGATAACTCTACTATTAGAGCATTTTTTATCACTTTAAAGTTATCTGATATTTTATTCATTAGTGTCTGGCGACATAAAATTGTTGTACCAGGGGATAGAGTTTTAATCATCATGGTAAATGATGAATTATCAACCAAGAACATTGGCTGAACTGCATCAATTATAAAATTAACAATAACTTTATCAGCCAATTTCTGAGAAATATTGGCATTTGTATTATTAATTAATTGGTTTGAATTGAATTATTCTTTTTGGATGTAGAGTCGCCTATACCAAAATTATTTAGATGTTTCTCCATTTCCTTAAAACTATTGGCATGAACAGTCTTATAAAATAAATACTATTAGAATGTAAAAATGACAATTTACCTTTAGGTGTTTCTTGAGGTTATAACTGGATTTATTTGAGCAAATATTTTTTTTTACATTTTAAACAAGTAAATTTGAAGCCAGTTTTGGTTTTTATATTTATTTTTAGGGATGTACTGATAATTTTAATCGGATCGGGCAGATATTTCACCCATTTTAAAATATCGATTATCGGCCAATATTATAAAATTTTCCGATCCCATATAAAATGGCGTCGTTAACAAAAATAAATTTTTTTAAAAAAGTTATATCTAAAATCAATTTATTTTTATAAAAAAAAATCGAAATCCATTTTTATGTATATTTTTTTTAATTATAATAATTAATTAATAAACATTCTGCCATATTGTTATTTTTTTTGCGCATTCTGTTTATTAAAGTGTATGATAATCTCTTCAGAATCTGTTTTTAGTGAAGCTGGTGATAATATTTCTTAAAAGAAATCTTCGATATATTAATGTTAAATATTATTTTAGATATTTATTTCAAATTTCATAATATATTTGTTTATTACTTATTATATAAAAATGATTTAACAATAAAAATTTCTTATACACTTTTAGAATTGCAATTGAATTGAATATAAACTATAACTGATCATTATAATATATTTAAATGACATAAGTTATGGTATAGTTAAATTATAGATGTTATACTAATAAAAGTATATATTAAAAATTAAAACCATTGGTATCTTTACAGAATACAAAATTAGATATAATATAAGATCAGTAATCGGCCGATATCAATATAATATCGGATGGGATCGGCCTCAAAAAGTGGTATCGATACACCCCTATTTATTTAAAAAAAATTTTTAAATCTAGGGAATGGGAAATTTGTATTATAGCTATTAAGAAAATTTTCTTCCCTATCTTTATTTCATTAATATCATTGTATGAATCACTTTTAACGATTTGGATATCCACAGGCAATGACATTTTAAATTATTAATGTTTTTTAATTTTTCCCACCACATTACAAATTAAAAGATTTGCAAAGAATAGAAATCCCTCTTCTTTTTTTAAAACACATTTTATTTAAAGTTAATTAAATAGATCATAGGGATGGAAAACTCTTTGCGTCTGGTCTGAGGTTTCATAAATTATGAGATTCAATTTCAATTTAGCTACCAGTTCTATTTATAAATCATATGGGTATTGTATGGGTTGAATCATTATTAAAAAATAATACTACAGGCAAATTTTTTTATTTTAATCATATTTATTTACAGATTCTATGAACATTAAATCTCAATATTGATAGTAATAAACCAAACATACACTAAAGAATTTAAACTTAAAATCAGCCATCACCCACCTTATTAAATTATACTGTAGTTGGGTATAGGCTCTTTTCTTTGCCCCACTCCTTTTTAATAAGTCTATAGAGGTTTAAGCAACATTTTTCAGAATGTTATGCCTACAAGTATGTGCGGCTTGCCCACAAACCTGTAAAGGGCTTCTCATATTTTTATTCCCCGATTACTTTAATAATCCAATTAGATGGAAATGAGAAAAACCTAGCGTAGCCCTGTTGTTCAACGTTGAGAGGGCGAATGCGCTTTATCAAGTAAATTATTAACACGTGATTTAGGTTTAAAATACAAATAAAAATATAAATTACAAATTGAAAATATATTTCAATTTCAAAATTATAATAAAAATTATAATTATTTATGATATTTATTTTCATGTTTATACTTACCTTCATTATATTTTTTAAAAGTAGCTAAGTAGCGCGCTAAAAAATTAAATAATTATAAAAAAGTAGCCGCTATTAGCTATGGCTACCAAAAAAGATAGCGCGCTACTTTAACAACTCTGCACAAAGGTTTGGAATCTATTAGCAAAATCTCGAGGTTTAGGCAATATTTTTCTTGCTAAAATAACGAGTTAGCCGTTTTTAAAAATCGGTTCAAATCTAGCCGTTTAACAATACTACAGTCAAGGATATGTTAGGTTAATATTTTTTGAAAATATTGAAAAAGATTATGGTAAATATTGTAGTTTTTTTCAACATTTTTTAGATCTATTCCCATTTATTATAATTATTTTTATATAATTATAAAATGTAATATATATATTATATTTCAATTTTTATATAATTTTTTAAATATATTTACACGAAATTTGGAAAAATAAAAATTCGTCTCTATTTTTTGCCCATTTTAGCGTGCCCTTTCTTATCTTTTTAAAATAATATCGTAACCCCGCCTAAATTTTAGGACACACATAAAAAATTTAGTTGACGTGTCAGTCAAAAACATAATTTAAATTCCAGCTAATGATAATTCATGTTATAGGACAATGTAAAGGAATTTATAAAACACTGACCAAATTTTATGAAACCCTCTTTTATTATTGTATTAACCATATTTCAAACCGACGACCCTTCCATATCATAATTCTATCAAATAAGTTGGTTTCTTAGTTTTTAAATAGTTGCAACATTACACCCACCCGGATTTGAATTTAATTTTTAAGATGGTAAAAAATATTTTGATTTTTTTCCCCTGGACTTTTATTTTGGATCATCTTTCTTACGGCCTCGCCTGGGATTTTTAAATTTCGTGCAAGTAAATTGTTTCAAAGGGAGGTGAGGTAATTGTTTAGCCAACTTTAATGGAGCCCATATAATGATATATTAAAAAAAACAGAATAAAAATAACCACGGGAAAATCAATATCTAAACATTTTCATAGAAAGGGGGAAGGTATGAGGGCCAAGTCTCTAAAATATTTTTAACACCCCCCCCCCCCGCCCCCTAGATAAATTCTGGCTATGCGACTTGAAATCGAACATAAATGAATATTAAACACTGCACAATACATTTATTTTTAAAAAATCGGCATAGAATTTTATATTTTTTACCGAATTTTGTAGAACCTAAAATTATATCCTGCCCGGTCAAATTATAACAAAAATTATGGCCCGGCATTTGATTCACGTCTGAAGGTCAACTTATCCAAGTTGCCCTCATTATTGGATCTTGGATGTACTAGATTATAATCGAATTAATATTCCAATGTCACAATATTTATTATTTAAATGAAATTTGAAACATAAAAACCTGTCATTAAACCTACTCAATAAAATATAAAAAATTATTATCTAAAAAAATTGAACTAATACATCCCCATTTTAACTGCTTCTAAGATACAATAATTAAAAAAAAAAATTTTTTTTATTTAAAAAAAGCCTAATTTTGTTTAAAAAAAATATTAAAATAAAAATAAACCAATCAGATATAGATCATTTGTATTAAAATAAAATAAAAAAAATAAAATAAACAAAAATAAACAAATATGATGTATTGAATGATTATTTATTTATATTTTGATTTGTTGTGTAATTTTTTATTTTTTTTATGAAAATGTTAAAAAGAAGGAAAAAAAAGTCAATATATCAAAGAAAAAAATATTTTTATACAAAAATTCAACACAATTTATATAAAAAAAGTGAATTTATAACGATTAACTAATAATGAAATATTCTTTTTATTACGATATAATTAATAAAAATTATATGGGCTCGGTAATAGCGGTTGTAGTGCGATCTATATCAAATTCTTTAAAAATTTTAGTATCAATTTTTATATATTTTATATAAATCTACATATTATCATCACATAAATATCGATAATCTATATCATAAATTATTCAAATAATGACATCACCAATATTCTTATTATGATTGTATATATGAAATGAATAGCAAATATGCTGGAAATGGTTCTAGCCTTGAAGATTGTCACACAAATATATTTGCTTTAGTAAGTGGCATATTTTTATTATTGATAGTGTAAGTTCATCTTAATTATTTAAATATTAATGTTCTAATCTTAAGCATTTATTTTATGCAACTATTTAAATATATATGCTATTATTTTTTAAAATTGCCTTTGAGTTGGATATTGGAAAAAATATTTAAAAGCTGACATATTATCCTTTATTTATTTTAATCAAATTTTAGCCCTATTCTTAAATAAATCATAACTATGATTGTTTTTTTTCAAAGAATATAATTATTACCCATGCATTATTTAATAAATACAACTTCAAATTTAACTTTCATGCTGACATTTTTATTAAATGATGAGAATTGAAAGATATTTAAAAATAACTATTGAAAAAAATATTATAAATTAATAGATTTTCTTTCAGTTATAATTTATATAATTAGTCAATAAATATTCATTAAAATTTATTTTTAATTCCTTTATAAAATTACTTGATAAAAATAATTTAATTAGAAATCATAGGTTTTTGCAAATTAAGTTATAATATAAATTATTGAATAAGTAAAATATATATGTAAATACAGTATTATTTATATTAGAAATCATAGGTTTTTACTAATTAATTTACAATATAAATTATTGTATAAGTAAAATATATATGTAAATACAGTATTATTTATATTATTTTTAATTAAATAACCAAAACAAAAATCAACAAGGTCAAATTTATCAGCTAAAATTTATCAAAATATAAACATATAAATCCATCATTTATTCTGTAATATTGTTATAATTAAATGGCAGAAGTTTATTTTATAAGGAACTATATAAATTTTTCCATTCATAGTATAATTTCTATTTATCTTTGATTTAATCATCACAGGATTCATTATTTTGTCTATTACAATTTATTAAACAAGCAACTTAAAGATTTAAAATAATATTTATAGATTTATATCAGATATGTACACACTTTAAGATTCAGCTAATTAACACAATATTACTGTTAATTAACATAAAACTCTCTAGGGGTTTTAATATTTCTTAATACTGGATATTTATATTTATAATAAAATGTAATTGTTAACAACTTATAAGCAGTAAATCCAAATTGACTTATATAATTTTTATAAATTCCAACAAAATTTATTTTGTTTATGAAATGTTCAATATGAATAGATAAATTTATATTAATATGTAATTTAAATTATCATATTTATTAGGCCGATTTAAATGGTTTAAAATGGAAAAAATACCTGTATTCTAAATCCCTGAGCCCCACAAACTCTTCTTTATTTGGTTTATCCCCATCTTTCCACACGATCGATAAGAATTTCAATCAACCCAATACAATTAATAATGAAAAGAACTATTCCACCATAAGATTATCGCAAGATCCCCTGCTGTCATCTTACTGCAAGTGTTTGGAATCTAGTGTTTTATGTGTTTGGAGACTTAGACCTGGTATTTTTTAAAATAAAAAATGCATTTGCTAGGTATTATAATTATAATTTTTTAGGAAGCTATTAATTAATTTTCAAGATTTTTATTGACTTGGGCAGTATTTAAAATAATGGGGAGTTTAAAGACAATTAAAATAAGAAAATAACAAATCGATAATATTAATTTCGCTAGGTGGCGTATTTTATTTTTAAAAGTTTTAATTTATTTTTTTGACAAAGTTAAGTTTAAGGATTGCCACTCAACTGAATATCATAAACCTAAGTTTTTGGTGAGTAATCCCAAACGTCTAAAATTTTTAAATTACTTTATTTTATATATAATTTAAAAAAACAATAAATCTACCTTCCAGATTAAATATTATATTTGTCTTCTGCTAATTATTTGTTAAAATAGAAAATAAATATTTATAAAAAGAATATAAAAATGAGAACTTTTTTAGTCTATGCTTAAGTTGAGGTTGATTCATTCTATATATAGGATAACTTTTTAATAAAAATCCTGGACAATTCTTAATTAACTGCTAGTGTTGTTAAACGGCCCTTAAGATTTTAGCCAAAATAATATTATGTAAGCTTCTAGATTTGGCAAATAAAGATCACCATTCTGCAATCTTTGAGCAACATGTCAAGGCTTACATAATATTACTTTGCTTCCGGTCGTTTTAAAAACCAACCCTTTAACAACACTAAACTGAACATTTTTTAGTGCTCAATATTTTATAAATACTGCCCAAAACATTAATTTTTTGATAAACAAACAAAGTAATCATAGCCACATTAAAGTATTTATTTAATGCATAAATATTTAGAAATAGAGAAATACTTTCGTTATATATTCAGCAGTCTTATTCATAATTTATTTTTTGGTTGCAAATAATTATATTATTTTTCAAAAATATAAAATAGGTGATAGTCTAGATTCAAATTTCATCGATAGGCCCAAGGAGTTGTGGATATTTTGGCATGGAGATGAACCTGATTTTTCTATATTAATTCATCGAGATTTAAAAGGCATATAAATATTATTTTAATAACATATACCATTTCATTATTCAATAACTATTTTAAAAAAGGAAGAAAGATAGATAGATCGATAGATGAAAAGAAAGAAAGAGAGAGAAAAAGAATATAAAAAATGGAAGAAAAATTTAGAAAGAACAAAATATATAATTTAATAAATATGTTTGAGCTATGTGGAGAATCGTTATATAATTGTTTTATTCTACAGAAGAATGCACTTATTAAAATTGATGGGAATAGTAATTTATAATAATATTATTATTAAAGAATCTGAATTTGGCAATTGGGACAATGGGTTGACTTATGAAGGCAGAACTCTCTTGTTCAAGGCTTTTCATAACATAATTGAAAGGTTCTAAAACATTCTTAACTTTTATTACATTATTTATACATTTTTATAACGATTATTATCAATTTGAATGATTTTGATTGTGTATATAATTTAACACTTAAATATCCTTATAATAACATTTTAAATGTTAAAAACTATTTTTATTTACGAATTATCATTCTTTGCAGATACCTGATGATGCGAGGATTCTTAAGGTTGGGAAAATGGTTTGTGGAACCTAAAATAAAAGGCAACGATTCAGACCTGCATAGTGAAGATGGGTTAAAATTTATAACTTTAAATGTTACTTGTTTAATAGCAAAAAATAAATTAACTTTTGATTTAATAAATTATTTTCTAAAACACATGCAAATAAATATAATTATTTTTATTCCTAAAACAAATTATTTTAATAGGGAATGTTATAACTCACCAACCAACCAATTGGCCTTTTCTTTGGCATTCTTCCTTCACGGGGAAAGTGCTATTTGTGCTAGTCTAATCGTACAAAAATTTCCTTCCATATACCGTCTTATTCTGCCCGAGAATTTGGGACATACTCAACATTACAAACCATTAAATGGTATAATTCATATAAAATAAAATATTTTCCTAAAAATTATGAATGAACGATTTAAAGAAATAAATTAATACAATTTTAAGATTTGATTATATATTATCTTTTAAAATACATTTTAGTATATTTAATGTTTTTTTCAATAATCCTAATTATTTTTAGTAATAATGTGCCCTTACGGTCTCTCAGGCATACTGACTGGAAAATATTTTAAAAGTTCGGACGCGGGAATGGAAGATTTGCTCGAGGAATGGCAGAAATTTTATCCTAATATCCAATCCGATAATAACTCCTCCCCAAATGACAGTAAATATCCCCCCAGTCAAGGGAAAAATTTAAATACTGGATCTTTTCAAGTGGCCGAAATAATGATAGGTTTAAAATTTTTTATTTGTATATAAGTGACAAAATTTTATAAAATTTAAAATTGAATTATTATAGTATGCTAATTTTATTATTATAGATGTAATATTAAAAAGTTACATTTATATAAACAATAAATTTCCCACAATTTTAAATTTTTTTTAAATATTAGCGGACAAATATCTGACATATTATCCTATATGGTACGTGTCTCTAGTTCAGGGCGACTGTAACGATATTATCAATCTGGACAGCGATGAATATCTAACACCCATCTATACTAAACCTACGTTTGATTCAGCCAAGGATTTAAACAACACTAACAATAATTTAACCCCGCCTCCATCTCCTGCTAATATAATTAATAAGGGAGAGTTTTTAAACATCCCACTATGTGCAGAAGAGGCCTTTATAAGATCGAACAATAACTTTAGCGAAATAAACTTTTTTTCTGGGTTAGTTTTAGTTTAATACATTTCTTGCATAAAACACTAATTACTATAGATTCATATCAATACCACTTCTTCCAATACTCAAATACTGCCAGATATCAGGCCAATGCCACAATACCTGGCACCAATATATAAAATAGGGCTGTGCCGATCCACATATTTTTCATCGATCCGATCCGATATTGGTTCAAACCGTACCTATCCGATATTTATATTGATTTTTCACCACCCCCCTTTGAACCAAATGTAATTAAGAAATCAATATTTTTTATGCAAAAAATCAAATTTACATTATATTTAATTTTTTTATTTCTACAATAATTAAGAAAAAATTATATTATAATAGATAAAATATATATATTTAATAATATGTCCATTTTATGTTGGTATGAATTTTAAAATTGTAATTTTTAATATATAAAATTATTTTATAAAGATTTTTTTTAAATAAAATATTTCCATAATTCAGCTATCAATATTTAAAAAATTCTTTTATTTAAAGTATAAATAAAAAAATTGGCATTATTATTTTAAAATATTTAAAATAAATAAAACTTTGGGTGTTCCTTTCTATTTTTATAAAAAAAACTTTTAAAATACTATAAATCTATTTTAAAAAATTAATAAAATTAAGGGGTGTTGTGCATTTGCATTGTTTAAAAAAAAATTATTTAGAAAATATTATTAATGTAAAATAAATATACATAACATAAAATAAAAAAAAAGAAAAGTAAAAAGATCGGATCGGGTTTTTATAGATATCGGCCCGATCCAATATTTTTGTAAAACTCTAAATATCGGTGCCGATCCGATATTTAATATCGGCACAGCCCTAATATAAAATGCTAAAAATATTCAAAGGTTCGCCAATGAATAAATAAAATAAAATTATGAATTTGAAATGTTTTTCAAAATCATACTAGTTTTTTTTTAAAGAAAGACACAAGTCAGACGGAATTATATAATATAATATAATTTTCATTTATTAGAAGTGATGGAAAGTATAATTTAAAAACATTTAAAAAAGTAAAATATCAATGTGAAAAACAGGGAAGCCCGAGATTGGCAACTTTGAAAAATATTATTTTAATAAATAAACAATCATATGACTTAAAAAACTAACAATTTTGACTAAAAATTGTAAAAATATATTATATATTATGCAAGAAAATATAATTATGATTGCATTGAAAATTTATTCAAATAATCTTTAGGAATAATTTGGTATCAGTCCATTTGCAAAAAATAAAAATAAACAGCCCTATACCGATACTAGCGTCATGCATCTTTGCTAATAACAGGAAAAATATTATGAATTTAATTATTAAACGTTGATATCTTGTCATTAATATAAGTTAATTGGTAGTTACTAACTAATTGACTATATTATATTTTAAACAAACAATCCTTTTTTTATATGTTTTTCTTAACATTCTTTAAAATTAGAACTTTACTTATCGATTTATGTTTTTTGAAGAAAAAAAGCATATTAATTTATAAAAGTAAAATACGAATAAAAAAATAATTCTTATTTTGGAAATTTAAGATGTTTAGATTGTCGCGATCTTAAATCTGGATACCCAACCAGGCATGATAACACGGAATGGACTTTTGTTAACGCTAGTACCTTTAAAAAATGTCGTTGTCGAGAAGCTATGCAATTGAGGTAAATTTTTTGATATATCTCTTTTTATTTATATGAAATTATCAATAAAATGTTGTACCTAATTATGAAACGCAATTGATATTTAAATAAAAAGTCTTACCTATTGTCAGACTTATGATGTATTTTATCGAAGATTATACTTTCAGCTCCTTTTTTATTATCTCAAAACCACGTATAAAATAACATATTCCATTATTAATTTCTTATTCTCATCTGAATACTTACTGGGTATATAAGATGATTATAAAGATAAAAAGGTAAAAGTTTTTCAAACGTTTTATTTTTCGGGAATTGAAGATTTATATTATGCATATGATTAACTACTAGATCAGATCACTATCATCCACCCTGTCACAAAGCGCGTTTTAACTTCCCCTTCGGAAAAGAGATTACTCCGAGCATCGAGAAATTACAGTTTAATGTGACGTCTCATTTTCACAGGCGTGGATGTGTGCCCTCTCTATCTCATACACCACAGTTTAAGCATCGACAAAGGCCACGGAAAAGAGTTACAATTATATCTCCGAAAGATGAGATTTACTCATCTTCTACAAATGTCATAAGCATTACTAAACATGAAGGTAACATAGGATCGGTTTATTCATAATTTTAATTTTTGTTTATAAAAAATGTATATTATAATTTTTACAACTATCTTCGTTTGAAAAGGTAATTACTAGAAATTAATAAAAATCTTGTAAGATATTTTTTATCAAACCTTTTCGTTAGCTACAGAAAATAGTTTTGATTAGTGTGTATTCTTTTGAAAAATAAGTGTTTGTGATAAATATTTAAACCGAAAATTTCGGACAATGACATTTTTTTATTTCGTCCCAGTTCCGTCCAATTTTCAGAACATTCTCGGTTCCGAAAAGATCTAAATTTATTTCTTTTTCCCATATAAATCACTTATTATATCGATATTAATATATTAAAAATTTATATTTATTATGCTGGTGTTGATATTAAATTTAGGTGTCAAAAAATATCTTACAACCAGTTTTTAAACAAAAACTAGAACCATCGGAACCGCAAAGAATCAGAAGCTTTAACACCTAAAATTTATAGAAACCGGAACCAGACTGGATTTTGAAACTTCCAAGAACTGTTATTGGTTCTAATGAAAGTGTAACTAATTTAGGTATATTTTTATTCAAAATGTTGTGATTCATTTTAGAAGGTTAATTTATTGCTCCAATTTTTCTAAATTCTCTTCATTCCTTGTTCACAGGGATGGGACTTTGGGTATATTTTGTAATGCAATTATGATTCCGAAATTTATTACTAAAATTTATAAGCATCATATATAATTGCATTGCAGTTTACTTCACCTGACAGTACCATTGTAGTATTGTGATTAAGATAAAATCTTTTTTACAATCATATTATAAATAAATTTAACTAGAGTTGTCAACGATTTAAATGATAACTTAATTACATTTCGCTAGCATCTTTACCTTTATGTTAATCTTTTAAAAGTTTAATGCCATTAGTTACTATACATTTTTTAAGTACCAAAACCATTAATAATAAGAAAAAAGATTGTATAAATTGTTTCCCTTTTATTTCATCAATCCATTATATATTTATTGCGCAGATCCCTAAATTCAAAAAAATTATTGCACATTTTTACTAATATAGTAATAATCTTTTTTTAATTATTTTTTACTAGTAATTGTTTTTCAAAGTTTATCTGATAAAAAATCTCAGCACTGCTTTTTCTGTACTGAACACCCATCTAATAAATTATTCACAACCAGAACCAAGATTTTTTTCGTCCAGCTTTAAAAACCTGCTTGCTCTCAACAACTTAGAGCCATTACCCTTTTTTTTGGCCCGGGCACTGTCCTTTTCTTATTAATTTTTAAGCTCTGCCAGAAATATTTTTAAATTTTTAGATAAAAGCCTGCCGCAATTTTTTTAGGTCTATACCTGGTCCCTTTCGAAATATTTAAAATATATATAAATTGAACGCATTTATTTGAAAATAAAATCACTATTTACTTTATTCTTATGATAGATTTGTTCTTATGATAGATTTGTTCTTATGATAGCTTTGTTCTTATGATAGATTTGTTCTTATGATAGATTTGTTCTTATGATAGATTTGTTCTTATGATAGATTTGTTCTTATGATAGATTTGTTCTTATGATAGATTTGTTCTTATGATAGATTTGTTCTTATGATAGATTTGTTCTTATGATAGATTTGTTCTTATGATAGATTTGTTCTTATGATAGATTTGTTCTTATGATAGATTTGTTCTTATGATAGATTTGTTCTTATGATAGATTTGTTCTTATGATAGATTTGTTCTTATGATAGATTTGTTCTTATGATAGATTTGTTCTTATGATAGATTTGTTCTTATGATAGATTTGTTCTTATGATAGATTTGTTCTTATGATAGATTTGTTCTTATTATTAAATTCTAATTATTATTTTATTTTGTTAGAAAACATTATTTTTGAAACTTATTTTTTCAAACTCGAACCCGGCAAAAAATATTTATAATGGCCCGGGCTTGGGCCCAATTACAGGGCTCTACTCTAATTTACCAACAAAATAATTGCAATATAATTTTATTTAAAAAAAATTATTTGAAATTTGACTTTAAAAAATGTTTTTTATATTTTTAATTACTTAATATTTTATATTAAATGGGTAATGTTGTTATGTGAAGCAAACTATTATAAAAAAAAGAGTATCTATTTATTAAATAAATAAACTTTTATACTTTATTTTCTAGAATTTTTCTGAAAGTTCTGGAAAAATTATTTTGTATTTCCCTTCAAACATTCGTTCCATTCCCTAGTTATAAAATCATTTTATTTTTCGTTTATCATATAATAGCCAAAATATTTTTTTGTTTAAATTATTTTTTACATTTTATATTCTCTTCGATTGTTTTTTTAGTAAAATAATTTTATTCATTTGTTTAGTTGCATCTGAACATGATCCGACTTTTACCCATTGCGATTCAAACTCCCAATCAACAATTCAACCCCTTCGCCCGACTCCTCCATCTTCATTCATGTCTCATCCACCATCTGAATTTTTAGATAGGCATCCCTCAAACCCTTGTCATTTACCCTATAAAACAGAATCAACATTGTCACTAACTTCAAACAATCCAACTCAAATTTTAGATCCGGATCAGTTGAATTTCTCTCCGCTCTATACGGATACCTCAGTCTATAAGAGATGGATGCGCGCTGGGTTGAAAAATTTGAGGTTATTCTTTTCATACATGTTTTTTTTATTGTGACATTTCGAAGAATAGATAGTTTTAGTCATTCTATATTTGTTTGATTCAAAAATTTCTTAGATAAATTTATATAAAATAATAACTGATAAACAATGCAATTTTATTTTAAATTAAAATATATGCTTTTAGATAAAATGATTGCTCATTTAAAAAAATCTAATTTAAACAAATATACGTTCTCCATTATATAAATTAAAATGCAGTTTCCTTAAAATAGTAATTCTTATATTTGGTAAGACGGATGCTCCTATTATTCCAAATCTTATAACCAGTTGTTTGATTGCTAGTGACCTATCTAAGACCATTTTTCAGAATGGCTATGATATTAAATCCATTCACATTTTCACATGTCTTTTTTCTTCGATTGAAATTATCAGATTTTTATTTACTAAAACGTAATATATGATTCATTAGGTTTTTATGATTGATAAAGTATTTTTGTTAGGTTTTTTTTATTTAATAGCAATTAGTGAGAAATTCACAATTTTTTAATTAAAATGTGCACTTCCTAAACTTTAATTTTCACATTTCATAATTATTTTTAGTTTTTTAAATAAATTTTCACATTTTTTATAATAAAATATTTCAAAACATATCAGCTTTAGTCCCAAGTATATTATCATGATATAATTAATATCAAGTTAAAACTCAAAAGCCAGTAATTTAAGTAAAATATAACAAAAAATACTTTATCATAAAAACTGAAAATTTCCATTGATCAAATCAATCATGTAAAAAATTTGAACTGTAATAATTTTGAAGAATATAAATAAAAGCTTTCAGTATATGGATAGTAAATATTTCCAAAGTTCTAGTGTTGTAAACGAACGCGTTCATGAACGAACTTCGTTTTTTTTAAAAAAAATGATGTACGGACGTTCCTTTTATTTTTTACTAACTTTGAATGTGAACGTGTTCCTTTTTTCTGACGAACGCGTTCGTTTTCACTTTCGTTCAATTTTAGAAAATCATCTTATTTTATTCATATGAAAATAAAAAATATTAATCTATTGACTTAAAACTTTTAATTTTAAACTCGGTTTAACAAAAATCCTTAAATGAGCATTTGAAGATTTTTTTTCGCTCAAAATTTGAATATTTTGAGCAAGCTCAAAGAAGATTTTTCAACAAATTTTTTTACAAAAAAATATTTTTTCTTTTGCTCGAAAATCTTCTTTAAACATGCTCAAAATTTTTTTACGAAAAAATCTTCAATTTTTTTGATCTTCATAAGAGTAGAATCTTTTAAGATTTTAGAATTTTGAGCAACTGTTAAACCCTGATTTTAAATATGGCTAATATATTGTGTTAAAGAATATATAGTATTTATTTATATTAAATTAAATATTAAATGAATTTTAAAAAAAATTTATTCGGGAACGAACGGGAACGCTTTTATGAACGTGAACGCGTTTGATTTTTTTTGGAAATGTTTACATCATTACAAAATTCTAAACAATGAAACATGGGTTAGGTATATGTAATTATCTTATATGCACAAACATAACGGTTTGTAGGACTATTGTTAACCTCCAACTCTTGTGAAAGATAATTTCTATATATGTGTTCTCACATGTTTCCTCTTATATTTTTTTTGGGGGAGTCCAAAGTATTATTTCTCATTATAATCTTCAAATCTGGTGCTAGTGATTTTCAGTCACTCATCTTTAAAGTATCTTATAAAAAAACCTGAAACCAATTTAAAAAGCGCCTTTCTATTAATAAACTGCATGTTTAATTTCTTCTCATAATTAAGGGGGGGGGGGTTAATCACGTTAATTGCACCAATGATAAGGATTTTTATCTTTAAAAATTAAATATATATTTAAATTTATTTACTATATTATTTTTAGAAACGAGAACTCTTCTTTTAATTGTAATGATGGATCTGCTAAACTAAAGAATTCTAACAATTTATACGAAAAGTTTGATATTCTGTTACATATCATTTATTTTATAGACAAGTGAGGGGCATTTTCAGACATAATTAGAATACAAATACTTTCATTTTTATTACTAAAATATAACTTATATTAAAACATAAATAATTTACGAAATAAAAAAAAACTAATATATAAAAAATAAGATGATTATAATAGGCACCCGGTTAGAAAATATTCACAATAAAATTAATGGCGGAAATATTTAGAGGTACCACGCCCACCAAAATATTTATATGAGCTAGGGTTACTCTATATTTAAAAAAGGTCTATATAGCTTTTTTTAGAGTGTCCTTTTGCACAGGGATCCGAACCCTTAAACCGGTATACCGTTATTATTTATCGAATCTGAACTATAAATTTTGTCATACCCTGAACCGAATCTTTTAAATGATTTTTAAACCGGTTTAAAGCTTTTAATATCCTAACTGTTTTAAATGTTATTATTAATTAGTTTTGAATGGTCGGTTAATATCAATCACCATTTCTTTTATGTGCAATGTAAAAAAACATTAGCTATTATTTTGTATTTTTAGTGATAAAATTTTAAAAATTGTATTTCTGCTTTATACATATTTTAATAAGTTTATATGCCAAAAAATTATAACCGGTTTTAAAGGTTAAAACTAAGCCTTTATTATTTTTACTAACACCGAAACCTAACCGATATTCGTTACGGTTCGGATGTCTGCTTTTGCAAAAAAGGACACTGAGTTTAAAAAGGAACAATACATGACTAAATACATATATCATTGCTCTTTTATTTAAGCAAATTAAAAAAACCAGTAACCCAAACGACTTTGCTTTTAACAATAACCAGAAAATTAGAATGTTTATATAAAATAATTTTTTCATACCTAAATTTGAATAACTAAATTAATCGAACCTATGCTAGCTAGATTTATAGCAAGCACAGTGCGGCATATCTAGCGATTTAATATTGCTAGAGTTTAATATTGCTTTATAAATATGAATGATCTATAAATTCCAATCATGATAAGTTAAAAATTATTAATATTTATCAGAAACATGCACACTAAGAGTTTTAATTATTTGACCTGGATTTAATTTGCCCTTATCTTTGCTCCCAGCCCTCTTTTTACGACCTCACTCTTTTTTGAAAATTTGGCCAAAATAATATTAAGTATTTTGTAAATAGATTCAAAGTGAAATTAAGTATATAAGCTAATAAAATGTTTCACATAATAATTTTCAATTTATTTTAAAAAAAATTTGGGTCTGGTCAGGTTAATATACCTTATTTTTAGGCCTAACCCAAACCATGGTTGTAATTTTATAAGTTCGCCCAGATTTGTAAAATCTTTACGGGCTAAATCTTCGGGTTTCTGGTTTTTATAAAGCAAAATTTATATTCATTAAATGATCTTATAAACTGGATTAGTTGTTAAATCATTAGCATTTTGCCAAATCGCCTTTACTTTAAATCCAGTCTTAGATTTAAAAAAACGCATATTATAAACATAGCGAACAAATTGAAATAAATAAATTACACATTAATGTATAAAAGAACAAAATGGTGTGTAAACCACAAAAATAACACTTATTTTAACAGTTACATTTATTTACATTTCTGTATAACGAACTAAACTTTATTATATAATATTTACAACCAGCACTTTTTCGGACAGCAACAAGGAATCCATGGAAAATTCTAAATATCAAAAAATAAAATTTTCAAGTGCCTTATCTTTTGATCCATACGAATTCAATGAAGAATTTAACAATCATAATTCCAGACAAAATTCAAATAATCCATACATTGAAGGAAAGGTTTTTATAGTTATACCCAAATATACATGATTATTTTCAAGAGTAAAGTATCTATACCTTTAAAGCTCATTGTTAGTATAATGCTAGATTTACTTTATATTAAACTAATATCCATCTTATTCTTTCAATCAAAGAATTGTCAAACACAACAAAATCCGACCAGCGTCAACGGGTCATACTTTCCTAATTATAGACCCCCTACTTCATCGAATCAAATGCATTTTGTAATATCAGATTCTAATAGCAACGATATGTATCGATTTACTAACACAAATATCGAACAAAATGCTTATAACGTTAGCAATTTTGATAATCAAAATATAAACAATTTCAATAAAAATCAACAAACAACCATACCACCCAGCCAAAGTAATTTATTTTAATACATATTTATACAGTATATTATAGAATTTTTTAAAAAGCCATGATGTACATCTAAATATGGCTATTCTAATTTTTATATAACTCAAATTAAGTGAATTTTTTTGTCATAGACAAACAAATTTGATGATTGAGTTCTTATCGCAATGTTTGAATGAATTATTTATCTCCCATTTTCTGATTTGGGCAGGTCCTGAAAAAAAAAATTTAGAGAGAGATGTAGATTCTTTATAAAATAATCTATCTTAGATACAGATAAAAGTATCTTATTAAAAATATAATAAATATATAAGATATTTGTACATTTTGCTAAATACGAATATCTCAACTTTTGATAAAAAAAAGTTGAGAAGGTCAAGATTATCCCATGGTTCACAAAAAATTAATACTAACCAACAGAAATACATGGAAAAATAAATATATATATAAGTTTATTGTTTTAACGAGCTGAAAGATAAAAGTCTCCTTTCTAATTACTTCTTTATTCTCCACTAACGAATTATTTATTCTGTTCTCTCTGAATGAATAACAATTAGGTCTTGGCAAATTTCTCATTGTCTTGATTTTGGCTTTATAACTTTCTTTTGTTCATTGTCTTTGCTTGCCAACCTCTTTTTTCAATATATATCATATGTTTCAAAAAGATTAAGGTTCAGTCAAGATGTTTACCATTCTAAAACACTATTATATGATTTTAAACCAACCTTTAATCGTTCTTGCTGCATGCCGAGACCTTATCCTGTCAGGATATATAAATATTAGATGGAAACCATTCTTCAATTAAAGCAAATGACTTATTATTGCCTAAAAAGAGGATATTCAATTGGTAGTATAGAGTCCTGCAGAGACGACTCTGGGCCATGATATCTTCACTAATATATATGCCTGGGCTATGGCCCTAAAATATATTAATGTTATATTTCCTTCTTTTTTGCCTGAATATCACAATTATGGAAAAATAAACTCAAGGTGGGAAACATTAATATTTCCTATCATATTTTATTTAATAAATAGAATAAAATATATAAACATCATTAAATTATCAGTTATTTCTGAATATTTAAATAATGCACAATATTAAATTTATCAGAGACCTGAAGAGGTACCATTTGCATGAAAAAATCCCCTGACTTTTTTTTAAATTTTTTGTCCTGTCCCGGATTTTTAAAAAATATTTACATTTATTTTTAATTTTTATAGCTAAAAACAGCGATTTAAAATATATCGCCCGGCCAGGGTATTATTTAAATTTTTTTTAGCTCCGGACTGGGTAATTTAAAAATTAAAATACAGCCCTACCCGTGTACCAGGGCTTAGGGCCGGGCCTGCAGGTCTCAAAATTTATAATAAAATAAATATTTCCAGTATATTATATTTCATAATTCCATTTAAGTAGGGCCATAGGCTTTTAAATTTTGTCATCAAGCTTCAAATGGGCTTGGGTCTAAAAAAATTGATTTTGCATTAAAATTAAAAAACTTTTCATTTTTAGGAGCGAAAATAAATTGTGGTTCGAACAGCGCATTGATAAACTAATAAGAACTAAACTGTGCTTTTGAAATTTATGTCGCTTTTTTAATGACAAGTTTCTTTTTTAAAAAATAAGACTTTTTTCAAAAACGTAGTGTTGTACAACATAGTTAGCATAGGAAATGGACATATGTTTCTGAAAAAGGACATAACAAGTCTGAAAAAGCTATACTTTAAATATAATTTATATTGAAATAATACCTAGATATATTGTTATAATAAATTAAGGAAAGTTTAACCAATTCATTTAATTTTTAATTTGAAAAATTCTGCTATGACAAACAAATTTTAACTTGATTTATGTGTTTTCTCTGTCAACGTGTCATTTCAATTTGAATCATGTATTAAGCACGTTTTTATGAAAAATCTGTTTTTGCTGGAAATATATTCCGATATGCATAAAATGCCTACCCTATAAATATCAGAAATTTGCGATCCAAGTCATTTTTATTTTATATAAAAACAAGATTAGTGGTTGAAAAGTCTATGACAAAATTGTCTGAAATTTTGGTTGGGTATATAATTCCGACAAAATCAGATTATTTACATAAATAAAAGTGCTTAAAAATGGTTTAAAGTTTAAAAATGAACATATTACTTGAGAAAACTTATTGACGCTAACATGCATTATAAATAAAAATCACATTCTTAATAATTTGACATTTTAAATATTCAAAGATGCGAGTCAAAACATTTTCAGCACTTTTGGCATAGTCAACAAATACCAAAATACAGATCCCATTCAATTGGAGGTATTATAAATATATGAAATTTTTTAAAATATATATTATTTCCCAATTTAATTAACAGAAAATCGGATCTCCTTCCTCAAACTCAAATATATCATCTTTGAGCAAAATTTTGAATTTACCTATTGGTTCAAATGTTGCTTCGCTCAATACATCTAACATTTCTCTAAATGGCATTATAAGTTTATTTTTTATTTTTCATCGAATTCATATTATGTATCTATACTTGGCAGAGAAAGAGATGCACCACTAATACTTCTCAATACCACCGATACTTATAAAAAATTATATATAAAATTAATGTATGTGATTTATGGTTTGTTTATTATTTATTCAGGATTTTAATCGCGCTTGTGCCAGAATATTTAAACATTTTGTCAAATGGTATACTTAACAATAATTTATTTAATTCATCAGAATATTTATATTCCATAATAATAATGAATATATGATATTTAAAATAACTAAATTCAGTTTAATAACCATCTCCCGGCCTGCATTCATTTTGCCTTGCAATCTTAATTTTTTAATATTATAAACAAGAATTTTTTTTCAGCATTCAATTTTCCTATTTTTTCTTATTCAGAAAGGCATTAGCAAAATATTCAAAAAAAAAATTTGAGAAAGTAAAATAATTTGTTAAATAAAAATCTCAAAAAATTTAATATAACAGAATTTGGTATCGGCCGCTTGTATCTGTAAAAAAGTATTGGACAAGTATCGGTGTATCTCGCTTTTAAGGCTTTCAATTATATGATATGATACATCTAATAAAGTAGACGTGATATCATATTGAAAATATAAGTATAAGTTTTGTAAGAGTACAGAGCAATAATAGTTTATTATTTTTAATCATATTTTTATTTAAATACATTAAAAAAATATATTTTAAACATTTACTAGATCTCATTATATAATATTAAGATGTTTTTAATTGCATGGTTCAAGTGTGGTTGATGCTTTAAACATGTTGAAGATGAGGAATATTATTAGTATATATTCTAATTTTTGAAATATTTTAATTTGTAGGTGCACTTCGCATATGTTTAACTAGTATTTAGAGATAAAAAGTGTAAAGGAACAAATTACATATTTTAAAAATAATTTTTTGTGCTTTAATCCTAGTAAGAGTAGACAGAACACAAACAGTATCAAACAGATTTAAATCAATGGCTAGTACCATCTAAAATTTGTGAAGAAACCTGAAAAAATAAAAATTATAAACATATATAATTTTGTGATGGCAGCACGGGAGGTGGGAAGTATTTTTAACAGGTCAGATCTTTTCAAAATACTAATTTCAATCACAAAATCCATGGATATATTGCAAAAAAATTATCTAACTTATCAGATCCTATCGAATAATGACTGTCACACCTATAAATAATTAAATAACAAAACAAATTGGAAACGTTTTGTAAATTTTGCGTTCCACGTGTCGATTCTTGATTGAACGGGATTCTGAAATAATTTTGTTGTTGATAAAAGAGAAATAATCCTAATCTTCAATCAACTCTTTGGTGTAGCAGCTGCAAATGTTTTTCTTTTTTGTCTTTGGTATAGCAGCTTCTGTAGGAAGAATGTTTTTCTTATTTAGTCTAGAAATAATTTTGGACTAGAAAAATTGGAAAATTCGTTTTAAAAAATATTTTAATGATAAAAATCCTATAATGTTGATATTTACATTTAAAAAGAAATGGCTTGTCATATATTTGAGTATTGTTTATTAGTGTCACAAATATAAGATTTAATAAATTGATGGAAAATTTTAATATTATAATAATTTTGAGCATAAAAGAGGCCACAATTTTCTTTTCACTTACTAAACCCCTTAAATGATATTGAAAAGATATTTGTAGTAAAATGTCAAGTGATTTGTAGATAATTATTATGTTTAATTGAAATAAAAAGTATTGTTTTAAATCATTATTTCTGCACCCTGAAATTTCAAATATTGCACTACAAGTTTAGAATTATAACCTAAAAGGCAAAACGCTATATATTTTTACTCTTATTTATTAACTAAACTTCACTTTTAAATCATAGTGACTTCCTAAAATAAAATCTTTAAACTATACTTTGAAATTATTTATTTTCAATTAAAATACAATAATTAAATTAATATATGAAATATTGAACGCAGAATTTGGTATAACTTAACTGATGTATAAATAAATTAATTTTGTGAAAATATATAAAATCATGTAAAATAGCTTCTTTTTTTCGCAGGTAACCACCACCGGTGGTGTGGTTTCTGTCGCTTCCACTATCTGTGATTTAATTTCATATAGATTAAAAGAAAATACATATTTTTAACTCCTCTATTACTATTATACCAAAAATGTTTTATACAAAATTATACGAGCCTAAATAAATTCGTTACAATTATTTATTAGCTTCCACAGATTTATCCCGAATATTTCCAACTCCACCCTCCCTCGAGAGCAATACATTATATTCACCTTGCGCCGCACCTTGTAACTTTCTTTTGCAAACCCCAAATGCTACGTCCGGCTTTCAGGCTATCCCCGAAATAACTACTAGCAATAACTACGACAAACCTTTTACCGAAACATGTCATCAAAACAATAACGCTCCACTACTTAATAATTCCGCGATTTCTTATAACAATAATTATTTATCCGCTAAGAATGACTCTTCCTCCATCATCGAAAAAATCATCGACGAAAATCGACCTCTTAATTCCAACAATAGTTTCTCTTGTGGGAACACTACTATAATTAAAACGAACAAACCCAGTAGCTTGTTGTGGATTAAACGGAGGAGATACGAACGAGACAACTTCTTGGGACGTAAACTGAAAGCCTTGCGTCACCTTATCGCTCAATCTAAGGTTCATTTATTACTTTTCATATTATTCGATTTTTAAGTACAAGCGAAAGAGAATGTTTAAATAAAATCATAAAACAAATTGCCTATTTATTCTGTATGGAAAATTATTTTAGCCAGAATTGGAACAGGATTAAGTGCTTTTGTTCCAGGTCCCGCTACAAACCCCCAGAAAATTATTTATCTCAGACATTTATTTGTTTGATACTGTAAAAAAAACAATTTAAAAAATTGTATTACCTATTATACAAGAATACATTTATTTTAAGGTTGTGGTAGATGAAATTGAAACGTTGGATGTGCTAGTAGGCTTTTCTCCATTTTCTAAAATTTCCAAAGAAGCATTGATCTGTGACCAAATGATTCAAGATATGGTAGACGTCACTTGGACCATGCACAAATCTTTGCGTTCTAAATCACCATCCAAAACTAGACCACCTAGGCTCGATTATGATATAGTGCCAGCTACAATTGCTCAGTATATATCAAAACCTATTTGATTGATTTTTTTTATATCAACATTTCAATTTCTTATTTTAAAAATACTATATTGTATCTTCATTTTTCCACAGAAAAAACGAGACCATTATTCCTACCACTCTACCAGTAATTACCTTTAACTCTACCCTTCCCATCGCCTCACATTTCAAGAACGTCCACTCTCTCCTCTTTAGTCTTCATTGCGCCTCCCTCCTCGATACTCATTCAGATTCCAATTTGCGTTCTTGCTCACTTTGCGCCTGCAATGGATCCATATGGGCTCGGCCCCAATTGGAACGTGGTCCTACAGATTTCCAACTTCTAGCTAACCAATCTCAGGCCTTGTTGGACCGATTAAGGTCGTTGGCGGACTCCAGTAAAAGGGCAGGGAAAGCTATGGAAAGGCTTAAACGACTAGTAAATAAAATGGCTATAGGAGAACAAGCCAATTGTAACACGCCTCATTATGGGAAAATTATCAATGGGTGAGTATGACTAATAATAAATTTAAGAATTAGAAATAGATAAACTACCAATTCAGTTGAGAATAAACTTAACCATATTCGAGTCGTTTTTTCATATACAAATCATTAATTATTAGAATGGAATATTTATTTTTAATTTTTTAAACTTATTCTTAAAATGTACTTAACGAAATTTTTTGGTTTAAGATTGAATTGAAAATGTAAATTAGTCTCATGTAATAACCTTGTATAATATAATTATATTTCATGTGATATATTGTTCTATGATACATAATTTTTAAATATATTATATTTATTCTTAATTTTTATAGATAATAATAACTATTTAAAATATTTGGCCCGGCCCGGGTCTTTAAAAAAATTTTAGGCCCAGATTAGGTATATTAAAAAATATCCGGGCCAGCCTGAAGTTATCGGGTCTGCAAGTCTGATAAATATTGAAAACCTTAAGGCCCGGTAATCGCATTTTAAAATCTAGGATCTTTAAATTTGATATTTTACAGCCTGGCCAGGATTATCAAAATTTTGTTATTTTAAATAATTTCTCCCTTATTCTATAAATTGATTCAAAGGGAAATTGAATATACGAGCAATAAATGAATGTTTTAAAAAATCCATTATAATTTTTTTTTCAAACTGATTAATTGATATTATATTATTTAAAAAAAATATTTAAGTTCCTATTTGGGTTAGTTAGAAAATCATGATGCATCTTTTAACATTCATTTGCTGCTCATATTTTTAATTTATAAAATACGGCCAAAATTTTTTAAAATAATGAAATTTTAAACATCCGGGCCAGGACTAGGCAGTAAAATAAACAAAGAAATTTAAAAATCCAGCACAAACTTTAAAGTAATTCAGGGGCAGGGTTATTTTTAAAAAAATCATGGCCAGGCTAGGCTTTGGGATATTTCATATCCTGACCATGTTTATAAATTTAAACTTTACATATCTGTTAAATATAATCATAATATCATAATTCCCCTCAGATTTGTTAATATTATCGTTTGAATAAGTGTATCACGAATATATTTATAATACAAGAAAATTTTATAAAGACTCTGAAATCAGATGAAGAATAGTTTGGCCAGATCTGGCCGGATATTTTTTTGTAATTTATCTGGTCTTGGACCTCCGAATTCAAACAACCTCTTTGAAGTAGAGTAAAAATCCCAGGAATTTTGGGATCAGGGGAAATTTTGGGAAAAATTTTATAAATTTTTTATATAATTTTAAATTTTATGAATTTTATATATAATTTTAAATTTATTTATAAATCTTTATCACTTGAGAACTCTGACATTGAACTGCCTAATGGAATCTTTATTTTTATATTCATTGAACATCTATTTTTTTAATATGTACATAATACTTTTAACAATATTTTCTAAGGAAGTATTATAAGAACTGATAATCGTAAGTATGATATTGCCACTAATATTTATCAGATTTAACCATATTAGAAACTTCGCTGTTATATTGCAAAATGTATAGTTTTTATTAACACTTTTTCTACAAAATAATAAAACCTTATAACTCCGAAGGTCTTTCTAGACATGTTTTAATTTTTTTAAAATCTTTCCATCACAAAATACATTATTTGATGGAAACAAATATTTAATAAAGATTTCAAAAGGCTCAATGGGTATGGAAATGTATTACGGAAGCATTTGAAGTTACCTCGAAACGAAATATTTATGGGTCATATTAGTCAATATTTAAATTTTGACCTATTACTTTTAAGAATATTCAAATTTAAGATCAATGTGTCTTAATGAATTAGAAATAAGAGGCATGAATCTAAATATTCGGAAATCTTTGTATTAACACATCATTTTAACTTAGGAAAATTGGGGTTTTTCTGATTTTTCGTCAAAAATACATATTTACAGGGGATTTAACAATGAAATAAAACCTTACCAAAACCACGCGCATGACAATAAAGAAAATCTACGCCACAAATGTATATGCGGTTTCGATCCCGATGTCAATAGATCCTCTTCTTTTGAATCCGGCCTATTCTTCGAAGATGAGATGTTAGTTAATGGTGAACGGTCTAATGATTCAGGTTACCATCATTTTTATTAGACTATTTTATCATATTTTGAATCAGAATATAATAGAATAGATGAATTATTTTTATTCAAAACATTTTATTTATATTGATATATACGAACACTCAGATATAAAATGATCTTTGATCAATGATAGAATTGGTAATTAAATCTATCTCGCCATCTACTATTTTATTATTATATTAGAATATCTGATTAAAAGTACTACATCTATTCATAATTTTTTACCGATCCGATCCAATATTTGCTGATATCTAACATTAATTTTTTTGTCAATAATATAATGGAATAATAAAAATATTTTGTAAATAAATTTGTAGGGTTTGTATTTATAAGATATAGACTAAATAATGTCTTATTTTATTAAATTATAGCCCCTTAAAGAGTAATATTATATCTACAAATGCTTACGTAATTTTGTGGTATTTATTTTTTTTTCCTTTGCCTCTCGAGATAAGGGCGTTGCAAATAACGCATTTTGCAAAATTATTTTTATCTATTACGAAATTTAATTATCACATTTCTGACATAATAGAAAAAATTAAAGTATTATCAAAATAATATATTGTTACAATCCAAAATTATACCAAAGTTATTAATTTAACAAAATAATATATTGTTACAATCCAAAATTATACCAAAGTTATTAATTTAAATTCGTATAATTTTTATTTTCTATAATTTTTTTCTCTTAATATATATTTTTAAAATGACCACTAATAATCAAATAAAATATTTAAAAATAAAGCAAATAAAAAATTAATCAAATTTCCTGATTCAATTATGATATATGAATAATAAATTAAGTAAATGAATATAACGATATATGCCGGTTTTTAGCTAGAAAAATTTTTAACAATTTTATATTTGGTTCATTCCGATTCTTATCTTTTAAAAAATTAATTTTGAACGAAATATTCAATTATATTCTATTGAACTTTACTGTTTAAATTTTATTGTAACAATCTTATGAATCAGAAAATTCTTATATGTATAAAAACAAATCATAAATAAAATTATTTAGCAGATTCTCTTTAGTCAATAGGTGAGAAGAATTAGCATAAAATAAATACAAATTATAAAAAATGAATACCATTGGATAATTTGATCACGAGATTAAAAATTATATCATTGAATTGAAAAATTTTAATTTATATAAATTTTATGCCAAAGAAAACCTTCGTCTACGATACCAAGGTCTCGGGATCAAATCTGAGACCAAAATTTTATCCCTTTAAGTATCTGGTATAATAGATTGATAGGATTCTATTATTAATCAATTGAATATGATTAATTTTAGAATAGGAAATGCCCAACAAGATTTTGATTTGCAATTTCATTAGGATGGCTACGATTTATATCATTATTTGTTGTATATTATCTTAAATTTAATTAAAAATATTTACGGATAGTTTGTTTTTATTTTTTATTATGATTATAATATTACTATATTTACTTTGAGAACGAATGTATATGTTAATTAATTTGTTTTCAAGCTCTACAATTTTTTATGCAATTTAATTGTTTATTGGATTTAAAAAACCTAAAATCTGAAGAGGAGTCTGTTTCTTCAAAAAATGCTAAAAATTAAGATTTGTATTTTATAAAAAAAAATTGACGGGCTAGCCCTCATTAACATCCTTTAGTGACACCGCTGGATGCTTATCTGATACCTACCAAGGTTTTATATAATAATATCTAAGAATATCATAAATTCGGTGTGGTTGGTTTTTGAATATTCGAATTTTTTAAAACTTAAATAATTTTTTTCTCCTTTAATATTTATTTTTTGTCCCTAAATTCTACCATTTATACTTTATTATTTTTTTTTAGGAATCGTTCCGTTTAAAACGTACACTGCATATACGTCTTTCTTAAACATAGTCTACTCCATTATCAGTAACAAATTTACTGAAGATGACCACAATATTTTTAATGATATTCAAAGATCTGGTTAATATATACATATATTTACTCTTCATTTATATTTGATTAGCTTTGCCAAATGATATTATGTGTAAAATAATAATATAAGTATTATATATTTCTACTAACCGCGATTTTTAAAATTTAAGTGTAATTCCCGAAAAATACCCGAAATTGGTCTTCCTTATCTTTAATATAATTATATTGCAATTCTAATAATATCTTGAGACATTTTGGAAATACAAACATAATCTACCGAAAACATCTTATGTTTTAATAATATTTTATGCACTAAAATAATGCTTAATATTTAATATTGATAATTTTATGATAAATAATCATGCAAATTATTATAATCTATAGACTTATACTCAACGATATTATTTAACTTCCACTTGGATTTCTATTTTGGATCACTTCTCGTGTTCAATTTTTTACTATTATAGTCCTATTTCGTGTGGAAAAGAATTTCAATCTTATAATTTAAATTAGCAACATTATTTATTGTCGTACGTAACAGCATATATTTTCATGACTATTTTTAGTTTTTTTTCCTAAAGGAATACGAAATATCATGTTAATTCTGACTATTCAATCGAACGCCATCCGAAAATGGAATCCATTTATATATATAGGCCACTCATACTTGGTTATTTTAACATAATCATTTTTAGTCTTTATTTTACAAAAATTGGATAAAAGATTATAAAATAATCTCCGACTTACCAGGTAGAAGCAATGATTCACAAATTTAATATAATAGATACTGTATATTAAACTCAAATCATTAGGAGTGGCCGGTATATATTAATAAATTCCACCTTCGGATGGTATTTTATGGGCTCGTCATGATAATACTATCATATTCCTATATAAAAAATATATTACAAATTGAAAATGTCTCTTTTCACAAATATATTTTGTTTAGAAAAACTATGAACAACCAGAAATTACCAAAATAAAAATCCAGTGGGAGTTAATAATATCCTTATGTAAATAGATTTAGATTGTCGACATTACACATTATCTTAGTGAGAATAAGAGTATCATTAAAATATATACTAAGAAGTTTTAAAAATTGTGGATAAATTTTCATAGAAAATAGCATGTGATATTAATCTGCATTATTGAATTAACAAAGAATTAATATCGATTTTTATAATTTCAACATTTTTATTGGGTGCCTCAATAAATGACAGAAATCTGTTTGACTGATCCGGAGACCGTTTGCATGGTTCAATCTTTAGTCGCCAGCGACCCTTATGGCTCAACTGTTTTGTCTCGCTACTCCCCACTTAATTTTGATATTACGCATATGACTAATCAACCATCAGCCCTGCGTTGCCCGCATAATATTCGCTCCATGTTGGATACTAGCCAGTTGTTCGAATTCGTGCTTTCCCACTCAATCCAATCGGGAGAAGTGGACTCCAATCTTTTCGACGAAGGAAAAAACGTCAAATTCACTAAAAGGGGAACCATTTTTTCGCCGTATTTATTGTTCACAGCTCATTTCTGGCCTTTTTTATATGGTAACCTTTATTTCCTATAATTCTTTTAAATGATATTTTATGAATGGCATTCACACTATAAAAAGTAAGGTAAACGGGTTAAAAATTAAAAATATTTTATTTATTTAACTATAAGTATTATTTGTTTTGATCACTTTCTAAGTGTTTTGACTGCATTCCCACTTTTTTATATGCAGAAATACTATGTCGAATTAAGTATATTTTTTTCCATCTGTATTTTGTGATTCACATGTCAAATCACCTGCCAATACCATTTCAAATATCAAAGGACTACCATTTTAAGCATAATTATAAAGAATCTCTTCTTGTTTACTTTGATTTCAAAATTATATATCATTTAACAATAAAAATTGATTGCTTTGTCCTTATTCACCAATTAAAACGAATAATTTATTCTAACAAGATTCGGCACCACCCGCAAATCGTGAATGCGTAAATGCGGCCAATTACCTCAGAGCCGCTTTACGCGATTGCGTCGAGCGACGTCCCGAGACAGTTTGCAGTATCCCTGGGTCGGCTTCTCGCTTCAAATCCTCCCATCTCCTTTTTGAACAGGCCCGTCAGGTGTCCGGACCGCTCACTTGGCAACATTTTCACAAACTAGCTGGCAGAGGTATTGTATTAACCCCCCCCCCTCCACTTTTTAGATAATATTGTTTTTTTTATATATCTATCATATTTCATTTTAATAAGAATCTACATTTTATTATATACTTTAAATCACAAATTAATTACATATTATTAATTGAAAATGGTCACAATTAATTGAAGCCCATTTTATCACTCTTATTATTTACCTTTATTTGAAAGCAAATTTTATTATATCAACTCATTATGAAATTCATTATATTGAAAAGAAACTTTAACTCTTTAATAATTTTAGGAAGAGTCGAAAGGTGCGAGCCCCAGCCAATTCCTCCTATTGTTGTTGGTTATGAACATGAAAGAAGTTTAGTATCACCATTAGCAATCAATTTTTGGGTATTAAACTTATCTCTTTAAAAAATTTACTATAAAATTATATAAAATAATACAAATTAATAATTAAATCACAGGAATTTTGCAATTTCGAACCGTTTAGCTTGCCCAAAGAAGTCAACTTTATAGTCGTTGTACCCGACAATGCAACCTTATGCCAGATAACTAAACGATTTTTTGAAAATCTCAGTTGTTCATTTGAAGTATTTTTTCTCTCAATGCGTCATTTCATGACAAATAGACTAAAAAATGTTATCTTTGACAACCAAACTTAAAAACTAATGAACTTCATATGTTGATTAAATGGGTTGTAAATTTTATCCAAATCAAATATTTAAAACTAGCTTATTTAGATCCGGAGTTATAAGCTTCCAGGGTTGGCGCAATCTTGATAATGAATCTTATAATCTAAAAATATATATGATAAGGTCACAAATAATATATCATTTTGTAGCTCTAAATTCTCCTTCGGAAAATAAAATTCAATGGTGAAGTATTTCCCCTTAAACAATCTTTTTTAATATTTTGAGCAAGCTATATTTTATGATACTAAATCTCACTTATATATGTTTATTTACCTTTATATTTAAATAATTAAGTGGGAAAAATGAAGATAGGTTCTGAATTTTAATTTTAAGAATAATAAAATAGTGTATAGATGGCGCTACGATTTTTAGTGTTAGGGTTAGGGTTCGTAGCCTCCTTTAATTAAACGAAATTATTGAGGTATTAGCCCAAATTTCGTATGCACCAATTTTGGCCGTCTAAAATGTACAAATATTTTTCAGCCCACCTCTCCATTAATACTAAAATATTCCTGGTCTTGTTCCTAAAGATCTCAATTCCTGTCTATTAGTAGTAAACCATGTTATAAAAACATAACTTCATTATATTAATGTAGTGTTTTTTTTTAAAAAAAGAAGTGGTAATTATGTAAAGAATAACATTTAAAAATGACTATTTTGCGTTTTTAAAATGGAAATATTCTCTATTTAATATTTTAAAAAAAGTAAAATGATTTAGCGTAGGATAAATGATTAGAAAATATAGATCAAAAAATGGAAACATGTTTGTTTATTTATAATACATGCCTTACACGAATATAAATTTTTTTTCTGCACCCTCATTTTTTTATCCGGAAAACGAAAAAACGGTATTTTACCCATTAATAATAATCTAAAATATATTTCCAAAAGCCACAGGACACTACAATTTATCCCATCGGGAAATAATCCACAAAATGGAGTACAACTTAAAAATAAAGTTTTAGTTTATGTTTCAATAGGATGCACTTAAATCGATGGTGCCATTGATATTTTTTAATTTCTATTAATGTTATATATAATGTAATTTATTTATATTCAAAAACAACAATATAGGCGTCATCTATAAAGCATTTTTTTATTCTCAAAATTTTAAAAACCTTAAATAAAATTTAAAAAAGTATCTTCAACTTTTGGCCAGCTTTTATTTTAATATAAAGGTGTTATACATGCTTGCTCAAAATATATAAAAAAATCTTTTTCGCGGAAATACTTCAACACTGAAGATATATATTTTCTAAAAAATGTATTCCTAATTAGAATTTTTGTAGACTACAAAATGATATATTATTTATCTCATTTTCAACAATATTTTTTGATTATTTTCAGATTCGTTAAATCAAGATAGCTCCTCACCTGGACTTTGAGATTCGGGTATAAGTGAGCTAGAACTCTTAAAGTCTTATTTGGGTAAAATGTACAATCTAACCAATGTACAAAGATTCATACATTATCAAGAATGTTGGTCAAAACAGCGGTCGTATTAAACTTTTATTCTTATAATTAATATAAATTTAAAAAATTTCTAGCTGTGCAAAATGGGTAAACACACTCCCCTGACGCCATTTAATAAATCCAAAGACGATTATTTTTTAAGAGTTGGTCAAAATTTTCAACTTAAAACGGCATCTATGCGTGATATGTCTTATCTTTCACTATTTCCTGATTGGATCAATTCTTTAGGTAATATTTTTATGGTTTTGATAAAATACTGACTTTAACTTTAAAATTTTTTTAAATACACTTTGCAAATATACATACATATATATATATATATATATATATAATATAATTTTTTAGACTTTACCAAAAATATAATATCTTGTTATCTTTCTAGGGAGTCAAGATGTTATGGAAAAAATTCGATGTTATTACATTGCTTTTAAATATCAACTGGGTAAATTTAATTTATACATAAAATTTTTTAAGTTATCAAGTATTATCTATTTACAATTTAGGCCATATTTTAATATATTTTTTAACTTTGAATTTTTATTTAGCTACCTATCTCCACAATAATCAAAGATCATCTTTTATAGAAGAAGGTAAAGCAGTTATACATCAATTATTAGGGGGTATGATTTGCTTCTATAAATCATAATATACCTTATATATAAAAGCGACAATATCTATATTAATATATTCTCAAATTAAAATTTAACATGTTAAAAATTTATGTTAAAGTAATATACATGTCTAAAATTTATATCTGTATCTATAAAATAATTTTATCCATTCACATATATGATACCACTCTGCCTCAATAAAAACAACAACCTTTATTTCTCATTACGCATAATGTTTGAAATTAAAAAAATGCATATGACCCAATTATTTTTTAGGAAGCCTTAACCACATTTATATAGTACACTCTTTTGCCTATATAAAAAACTTTAAAACATTTACTTTCCTTTGGAAATATTCGAATTATTATAAAATTAAAAGTGGAGGCTAATTTAGTAAAACCCTCCACCTAAATTAAAAAACTTTTATAAGGTTTAAAATTTATTTAAGGCACCCTGTGCTTAAATGACCCTTATTATTCTATCTGAAAAAGTTATTTTATGGTTGGGAAATCTGATATTATTTTATCCCCACATCTGTTAGATATCTACAAATTTACTTTTGTACAAGGACGATGCGTACATAACCCTCTCATAGTTTCCCATATTTCTTATTTGATTAAAGTTGAGACTTCGATAATTCCAATTACAGGTTTTTTCCACTCGAAAGCCCGCGTGTTGGGCAAAAAAAATTGGGCCAATCCGGATTAGGTCAAAATATTTTTACAGGCTAGGTCTGAAATTTGCAAAGAAATGTAAGCTTAGAATTAGGCAAATTGATGTCTTTCTGTCATTGGGTGTGGGGGACAACTTATCCAATATTATTTTTAATAGCAAATTACGTTTCGGGTCAAATACGCGACCTCTAATTCCAATACTTTTATTCTATTATATAAATATCATTTTTTGTAGATTTTAATGAATAAATGGGGCTTTATCCTTTTTAATGACCTATTCCCCTATATAGAATAATATCTATTGATAAACTAATAAGGTATTTTTTAATAGGTCTTGAAATTTTACTATGCCATTAATAATACATGATCTACACACTTCCCAGTCATGTTACCCTTGATAATTACACTTTTGGAACACAGCCATCAACTTCCATTTTTCCTTTAACATACTTCCCTATATAAAAATTTATCTATTGATAAACTAATAAGGTTTTTTTAATAGTCTTTAAATTTACTATGCCATTAATTATTCATAATCTCTAAGCTCTTCCCAGTCATGTTACCCTAAATAATTACACTTTTGGGAATTACACAGCATTATTTAATCAACTCCCATTTTTCCATCTCCTAGCGAGATTATTATTTATCAATGTATTCTCTCTTGAATCGGTTTTCTACTACTATTTGAATCAATTTCTCAGAAATCCAATTTTAATGTTTAGTTATAATGAGCAATTAAATAAGTTAAAGTTTTTTAATATTAAAGTGTAATAGCATGACATTTAAAAACAATTAAAATGAGTTTCTATTCTCGATTAAATGTTGCCACATTTTATTTAATCACGCCCCACTTTTTGATCTTTTCATAATTCTAAATTGGCTGGAGGAAAATGAATTTTTCCAAATTTTACATAAAAGATGATGCTATAATTTCCTAAAATTTCATTCACCTTCATATATTTTTTTAATTTAAAAGTGATGATTCAAGAAAAAATTAAGATGCTCGTTTTTTTATTTAGGCAGGATAGTATATATTAATATATAAAGTAGAATAAGAGTTTTATAAAATGGTGTTCTAACTTTTTTTTATAAATTCTTCCGTAAATGATAGGCCACCTTTCTAACACAAATTTTATTTTTGTTTTGATAAAATCAGTGATTTTTAATTTGAAAATGACTGAGAAGTAAAGAAAAATATATATTGGAAATATCTCTTTTTCATAGGGCTGATCTTATACAAAGAACATTAGATTTTATTTCTATAAAATTTTTATTTAACAAATTAACCCTTACAATACATATAGTCATTTGAAAAAGTTGAATATTACAAATATATGCTTACTACTTTACTTTTATGCTTAAATTCTTTACAACTTTAATCATTGTTATATTATGTATCTTATTGAAGGCTCTACGAATCAAGAAGCCTCACTGTCCATAAAAGTCGCTGCCCGGCACTTTTTTGAATCTTTTGCTAGCCGCTCTCTCGTTGTATATGCCATTGATCCTTATTCCTTTTTCAAAAATTCCCATCGATCACCGGCAGTCAATATTTCCGGTCATAGTATAGCGCGTTGTTTTTATCAAGCTTTAGATTCGTTACCCGGTTCCTATAGGGATAGAATAACCTTTAAGGTACTTGAAATGTCTTTTTTTTTAATAATTGAGATCAAACTACTTCCCTTAAATGAAAATTTTGTTTATTATGTATTTATAATATATATTTATTATTTGCAATATAAGATTATTCCTATTCAATCCATGCTCGATGCGTTAAGTTGTGATCGTTCTATATTTCGAACCTTTTCTCTTTCCATATACGCTAGCATCCGATATTGTCAGCCAGTCATTCAAGGCCCCACCAAAACCTATACTGGTTTCGGACCTAGCGTTCACAAAAATTGCGTATTGGAAAAAAATAAAGTTAATCCATTACTTATAAAATTATATATTTCTATACTTAATGTAAAATAAGGGTTTATTTTCTTTTCTATTTATTTAGATATATAGAAAAAAGATTATTATGCAATTAAGGGAATTGTGTGAGGGAAGATTAATGCAGTGGTGCCTTTTTCCAGTGATAATCGGTTAATTTTAGCCTACTCCAAAACGGCTTAGCCAAAAAACTACTAAAACTAATTAATCAAAAATTAGGTCCTCCATAGTTAAGTTAATTTCAATGTAGCAACTTGCGAATGTAGTAATACTATGAATCTTTATCCTTATGCTACCTCAAAGTTTATTAGATATCTCTCGTGCGTTAAATATCCCTAAATATAACTTGGAAGGGGGGGGATACCTTGTCGGAGCTTAATAAATTATGGTATCATCTTTTACCCTTTGGTATGTATTTTAACTGTTTTTATCAGGGTTGTGCATCTGACCGAATTCGGTCAATTGACCGTTATTTGACCTGTGAAATATGGTCAAATTTAAATAAAAGTTTTTTAAGACAATATTAACTTTTTTTTATATATAATAGTAAAATGAATCTATAATATTAATTTTTTAAATTCATTGTCATTCAATAACTAATGTTTCGATCTCTGTAGCAGAGTTTTATTCTAATTCATATTCAATATTATCATTTTCTTTAATATTTTTAATCATCGATTTCTATTTTCGCAAAAATATTAACCCAAATCGACCAATTTCTTTCCGAAGAAGTAGAAATATAAGATGGTGACCAACGCCCATTCCACTAACTTGAGGCCAGAATTTGATTGTTTCTTATGGAATTTGCTGCTTTCCACATAATATTTTATTAAACATGCCACCTTTTAGTTCTGAAATTTATTATATCACCTAAAATATTTTGATCACTAACACTTGTAAAACATCTATTTCTTGTATTATATCACATACTTTATTAAATTCACTACTAGTAAGATGTTCCATTAGATATTGGGGATCCAATAAATAAAAATTGTTTGCCGTATTTGATCAGGGCAAATATTTCTCTGGTCAATTTACCTACCTGCCAACCCTGGTTTTTATCAATTTTTTAGTAAATTAGCTCATCATATTCTTGGTTGTTGTATTTTGTTTGAGGAAAGAGGTGATGGTATTATTATTGATATCCGGCATTCCCTAATTTCTGGTATCGATAAATTCTCACTATCTTTAGACTGTTTCACCACTAGGATTTTTTTAACTAGACAAGCTATAATATTTTATATCGATTAAATTATCACACTATTATGGCATACGTATTTTAGCGAAATCATTGGATATTATGGCTCGTGAGAGTTAGAATTTTTTTTATATAATTCACTAACGGATGTATATACATTCTAGTCATAAAATTTTAAATGTAATGTTCATTTTAGCATTCTAATAATGATGAATTATAAATAAAATTTTATTCGAATAATATTAATATTTCATTCCAATATATTAGACTATTAAATATATTTTATTTTTAAAAAAATACGACTAAAATATTAAATTAACAATTTTAAAAATTAAAATAATAATAATAAATAATCATGCCTTTTTTAGAATATTAATGTCGAATTTTAACCTGAAGCAAAAAAGATTATAAAATACAAAGATCTCAACAATTTTATATATACCTTAATGGTCATCTCTATAAATGGCTACTTTTAGCCTAAATTTTTATATTTTTAAAAACCCTAGGCCTCAAAATCAGACATTTCATTAACTAGGCTAGGAAATTTCTTTTATATGACAAATATTTCAACTTAAATAATCCGACATAACTACGGCTCCTTTTTGGGAACACAAATAGTCGTTTTTAATTATATTATTTAAAATAAATTTTTATTTAAATACTTTGTATAAAGATGATAGTAGTAATAAACAGAAAAAAAGATCACAAATTTTCATTTTATAACAATTTATTAAAATAGATTCCCTAATTTTTAATTCACTAATTAATATATTATTACCGCATATTTTTTCAAATTCTTCCTTTTTACATATTTTATCAACTTATTCCTTAAACACCCCCAATAAGCTTATTTAAATGTTATAATCCTGTAGACGTGTTTAAAAATTTTAATTATATATATATATTATTAGGCTACAAATTACTACAATAACGCCGACGACTCTACTAGGCTTGTAAAATTTTACGCCCCGCCTTTCATCCTATCCCCCAAAAATGCATTTTTAAATCCCGCCCTTGCCCCCATAAATAAAGGCAATTTCGCTAGTTTCAATGACATGTCCTCTTCCAAAAACATTCCCACCCCGGAAAATTATTCCACACAGCACGCAATTTCTTCGGTACTTTATTGCGGATATTGTTTATCTTCAGACCAAAGATGGTTGTTGGCCACTTTTACCGATGAAACAGGTTCCATGCTCGAGAGTTGTATGGTTAATATAGACGTGGCAAACAGGTAATACAAATCCCATATTATATATGCTTGACATCTGTGAAGCCCAGTCCACGTTTTTTTTAAATTATAATATTACCGGGCAAAAAATTGGGGTGGACAATTTATACATAAAAAATCTAGTCGGACCTCTCTGATTTTTAATTTGATTAATATTCTTTCAAAGAATAATAAATAACAATATTGAACTTATTTCTTTTAATTTTATTAAACTGCCTATCAAATTAAATCTCTAAATAAAATATAAGCATAATTTGTTACAACTTTCATCTCCAAAATATATTTCAGAAGTTAAGAATTGTTTTTAATGTTTCGTATATTTATGATTTTTTTTAGTAACTTATTAGTTAATATTTATTTAATTCCAAATTCGTCAGCTTTCTTTAAAAATACAAAGTTGACTTGCTGGGCAAAAAAGGTTTTATGTATGCTGGCAGAATAAAATTTCCTCTTTTTAATGCATTTTATTTTTATAAAATTATAGTAGTTGTAACTTTATGATTTTCTTGTCCATATTTATATTTCACTGTGAATTGACCTTTGGACACAGTAGCTTGGTAAAAAGAGTAATATTTGGGTTCAATTTGCTGATTGTATTTCTAAAAAATGTCTCTTTTGGTTTTTTTATTATATTTATGTAAAGGATATCGCACGAATATTTTATTTAATCAAAATTTAATGTAGTGGCAATGTTTTCGCTAATTTTAAAAAAAATTAAACAATTTGAAAAATTTTGAGACACTTCTCTGGATGAATAAATCTTAAATTTGATGCCATTTATTTGAATTTATTTTTCAGCTCTTTGGAACAACAATCAACTTCAACATAATATGGTATTTCTCTGCATTTCTTAATTGGTTTATATTATCTCTCCATTTCCACTCTCATTGTTGGATCACAATTCCTTTATAGCTTTTGGGTGGGAAAGCAATGACATTTTTTTGCGAGCCACTTAATTATCTTGACCTCCTCACCCACTTTATTGCTTATTATTCATAAGAAATAGATAAAATATAATATCAGTGTAGAGAGATATTAGCGCCTTAATTGACATTGGGAAACAATTAAGCATATTCATTTGTTTGAAGAAATTTAACGGGCTAGGCTGAACTTTTCGCCTTGCGATTTATCGGGCCTGGCAACTAACTGATCATTATTTTTTAAAAAAAATATGAATCTAGATATCGTAAAAAAGAGATGTCTCTGCAAAAAGCTGCTTTAGAAAAACTTTTAAATTTTGCCGTTTATAAAATTATATGTCGGACCAACCATTCTTGGAGAATCATTATTGGGCGTGTTGGTCGTTTGGGCCACGGAGAATTGAAAGGTATGACAATATTCACAAAACTTGCCTCGATTTTTATAATTTATTTGTTTACATGTTAAGTTTTCGAAATTTTGAATTATTTTTTTAAACATTTTATAGGGATATATTGATATTTTTTTATCTCTCTGATTTTTCGACTTTTATTTGATTCGGTTATCCGCCGATATTATTAAATTTCCCGATATAAGTAAGAACTTCTTTATACAATTTAAAAGTTATGTTTTTTTATTCTAACTAATTGAAAATATGTGAAAAAGCTAATAAAATATCATATTAATCTTTATAAGGATGATTATGATTTTAAAACGAAATAATTTAAAAGATTGAAAAGATGGGCTTTATTACTTTCTAAGCGATAAAAGACTTTTGAATCAAAAATTTTACTGTATAAATAACTGATCAATATTTATATACCTTTTACATTGATGATAAAAAATTGATAGTAGTATTATTTTAAATGACTTATGCTTCGGTTATGGTATACTATTATCATAGGTGGTAGTATACTATTAAAATATAGATTGATATATTAAAAAATTAATATATATTAAAGGAAACAACGAAATCAGATTAGAGATATTAGATCGGTAATCGGCCGATATCAATTTAATATTGACAATATTGAGTCGGCCTCTAAAAAGTGGTTTTGATACACCTCTACAATTCATAACAATCTTGTTATTTAATATTGATTGAATAAATAAATCTTTTGGTTTTCACTGAAGAGAATTATTGCCATAATTTTGACATTATTTCCAAATAATTAAATAGACAAGCATTAAATTAACTTATCGATATTATTATATGGAAAAACATAAGTTTGGTGCGATTTGCTCAGTAAACGACATATTAAACAAATCAATTACAATTTGACTCAATCCTGCAAACCCTGCCATTTGAAGAACAAACAAGTGGCTCCTTGCGCTATTCTCAGCGCATGTCTGGTGTCCATTCAACCTAACAATAATCTGAGAGTTTTTCCGGATTCAGTTGCTCCCGAGCTGGATAGAATGGGTACAAGCAAGTACAGTCCCTTGACAACGCCGAAAGACATCTCCACCACTCATATCCTTGTTTTCCCTATCTCGGCCCATTCACAGGTTTGTATCATAACCTTAAAAACAAAATGTATTTATTAATATTTTTATATTTGATTTATATTATTTAGATCCTATTTTGCAGTTTATTTTTTATTAACAATTTTTTGCATGTAATTATAAAATAATAATAGTCTACTATGAAGATGGGCTTAGAAGAAGACTATTTATATGGCTTGTCTCATCCCACCGATGCACATTATGAATCCTCAACTCGTCAAAATCAGCAGAAACACAATTTCAAGGAAGCGAACGGGTTCGATACATCCAGAACCAACTCTAACTTATCTTCCTTCACATCTCCTCCCATTGCAAACCCTGATATAAATATTACAAATCAATTTACGAATGCAAACACAAACCATAATTCTACGGCATTTTTTAATGGCGATAGACACATTAACATGAATGCTTGTAGTAATGAAACTCATTTTGGTTCGAATAATATGTATCAGCAGAATACCATGATCAATAATCTAAATGATAATGATATCGCGAATAATAATTTACAGATCCCTGGTGGCCAGATTGGTGGTTTTGAATACAATTATAACGTCAATCCTGACTCTTCCAACTTTCAGCGACGATCTAACGATCTTAATAACGGTAAGCAACTATTAGGAGTGGGGGTCGAAGAGGAAGGTTTTAAAAAATACTTGTTGCATAAACAAATTCCCTATATTCGTTTAAAATAACCCATCCGGAATTCTTTAACATTGATTTTTTCTAAAATAATTAGTTTGTTTTCATAATAGACGCAATTTAAATTATTTTACAGCTGATCGAGTATGTCCTTTTATTAGATTTTTTTATTAATATTAATTTTATCTTTAATTTCAATCATAGTGATAATTTTAAGAATTATTAATATTGAATTATTTTTAAACTTAATCAGCTGTTAAATCGCATCTCGCACACTATAAATGCAATCACTGGACAGCTGATTTTGTAATTACATTTTTAACTTGCCATTAAACGTTTCCCAGGAAAAACATTTAACAGCGAGAAAATGAAACCATCAAAGGCTAGCGAGATAATTAAAAATATAATCGGCAGCCAGCGCCCCGCCATTTTTTAACCACCGTTCATCTAAGGTGGTGTGGATTGGTGCAAATAATTATGAATATTAAATTATTTCATTTTATAAATGCTAATTGATTTTTTTTAAGAAAGCTAAAAAATTATAAATTTTAATTTTGTAATAAAAAAAATTAATAGTTATCAATGTAAAAATTTTTATTCAAATTTGCCAGACATAGGGATGATTTCCTTGAATTCAGTGTCTACCTGTTGATAGAGAAAACTTTTTCACAAGGCTTGCAAGTTGCTGAAACTATTGTTAAAAGCCTCGATTTCACTCACTTTAAATTAACATTGCCACAAGGTTTCAAATTGAACCAAACAATGAAGGAATTGTTTCGCTCTATGCTGAAATCTAAGCTATTACCAACACTAGCATGAACACAGTTGGCTATCATGTAAGGGCGCCTAATTTTATTCTTTCCTTTTTGGAAATTTAGTACATCTATATCTTGCGGGTGACGGTTTCCAATAAAAATATGGCATTCTTGTTCCAATTCAATTTGTGTTTGTCATCGAGTACTTGCTAACTTTGTCAGATACTATATTTGATATATCCCCTAGGGTTTCATTATCTACATTTATAATTTTCTATAAGTTCAAGATGTTTTTTAATAAATTCAGCCAATATATAATTTTATTCTACCGTACATTTCTGCACGATGTTTAATTTTAGAAATCGGGCGCCTAATAAAGAAGCCAAAACCTATATAATTTATGAATAAAAAAGTACATTCAAATACTAATTATATCGCTAACAGGGAATTTTAAAGCTAATTTTTTTTGAACATATTTTCCTTAGGTGAAATAACCTCAGAACTAGTATCAAAATGGGCTTCTAACTTCTGAAGAGTAATGCCAAAAAGAAAAACCCTTTTTTGATGGAAGCAATTTAGCTTCTCAAAATTTTGAAAGAAATATTAAGAGCTCTACCGGTAGATCCTGCATAGTTTGGTAATTTAAGATTATGTTTTTTAATTCTTTCTAAAACATTTTTACTAGCACCAGAAATATTTTTGATGAAAATTAATATACTATGAGAGACATTTAGTTTTAATGTCATTTGAGTGTTTACATCAGACTTGCAGGAAATCTAAATTTAGGTCTGGTCTGGATTTCAAAACAATTTCCAAGCCCGGCCTGAATTATTTTTAGGTTTGGCCTAAGATTTTGAAAAAGTTTATCTTCAAGCCCGACCCGGGATAAAATATTTTCTCCCGTATTGTTATTATTCGATCCCACCCGGAATTTTAATAAAATTTTATTTTTTTTGTAAAAATTGAACTGACCCTGATTTTTTAAACTCCGGATCTGCTCAGATTTTTAAAATCATCATTTTTCGTCCCATTCCGGGCCTGCAGACATAGTTGGAGACTTCCGCGAATATTTGTATCTAAGGTAATAGATACACGATCTGTTTGTTTATGTTTTCGTATTTAAAAAATATATACTATTTAAAAAATTTGGTTTGGTTGGTTTATATATCTCCCCATTTTCACTCTTACACAAAATTCCTTTATAGCAGTTGGTAAGAAAACGATGATATCACTTTTTTGTGACATCTTTATGGCCACTTGTGAAAAAGGAATAAACATTTTTATAAAGTATCTTGTATCTAAGATACTTATATTTATCAAAATGCAAATAGTTTATATCTTGTATTTTTTTGATATTTTATAAAGAATATATATCTAGTCTTTTTTTAAGACTTTCCCAACTCTATCTGCAGGTCTCCGGTTATTATTGAAATCACCAATTAGAAACGGTGTCATTGTAAAGATCAGTGCTATGATGTTAGATCTATTTTACCTATAAATATTTTTGAGTTGCCTAGTACTCATATTCAACCTCCGATATTTTATATCCTAAAATAATTATAGCTTCACTTATTCTCTTAATTCGATTTTAAATAAAAAGTACCTCTTTCTAACACCATTATAACCATGACGATGATCATGTGTTTGAATAAAAAATTTAAAATCATTTTATTAATTTAAACGGAGAAGTATAATATGTAAATTTGTATGAAAACTAGATGTAACATTTTGAAAAGATATTTTGTACGCCGGTTCTGGGCTGCTTGATCCTACTTTGGCACAAAAATGGTGGAAAACGGCCAGTCGGATTACGGCTATACGTATACCGCACTTTAAAAAAATATTGACTAAATGTAGGAATCCCTTATTAAAGATGTTTTTTATTTTAATGTATAATCATTATTAATTCAAAAAAAAAGAAGAGGATCTTGACGAAGATCTATTGCTTCTTAAAGCCTTCAACGATCTCCCGATCGACCAATTTCTTATGATGGACGTTGATGATGTCATAGCTATGCAAGACGTCGAGGATACAGTGCCCATGCCTTGTAGACACAGCGGACAAATCAATAAAGTACGCCTCACTTAAATTTAATTCTGAATATATATATTAAAAGGCAACCTTCTATTTCGTTTTAATAATCTTATAATTAGGCCTGTGCCCATCCACATATTTTTCACCGATCCGATCCGATATTGGAACAAAACCGATCCGATACCAATTCGATATTTATATTGATTTTTCTCCACTCCTTTTTGAACTAAATTTAATTAAGAGATCAAGGCTTTTTATGCAAAAAATTGAATTATGCAGTTAATTTAATTTTTTTATTTCTACAATAATTAAAAAAAGTTTACGGATATTGGGTAGTATTAAATGAATTTTTCATTATTTCTCCCCGTGAAATTAAAATTCGGCAGATAACGCATTTTGCAAAATTATCTTTGTCTTTTGTGAAATATTTTCATAATTCAGATACCATATTTAAAAATATTCTTTTATTTAAAATATAAATAATAAAATTGACATTATTAAAAAAATTTAAATTAAATAAAACTTATTTGGATGTTCCTTTCTATTTTTATAAAAATACTTTTAAAATACTATAAATCTATTTTAAAAAATAAATAAAATTTAAGGGGTTTTGTGTATTTGCATTGGTTAAAAAAAATTATTTAGAAAATAATATTAATGTAAAATAAACAAAAGAAAGTAAAAAGATGGGGTTTTACAGGTATCGGCCCGATCCGATATTTTTGGAAAACGCTAAATATCGGTGCCGATCCGATATTTAATATCGCACCGCCCTACTTATAATATACAACAACATCAATAATATAAATTTTTTTAAAAAATGAATAGATTTTTATATGCTATTCTTTACGAAATAAAATAAACATTCTAATTTGAGCCTTAATGAGTTCTTCTTCTTTATTAATCTCCTGAGTAGATCACTTTAAAATGAACAAATATCTTACACGGAAAATTAGTGTTGTTAAACGGTTGTTTTGAGCCGATTTTTAAAAATGGCTGACTCAATATTTTATCCAGAATTACCTAAACCTGAAGATTTCTACCATAGATAACATAAGTTTGAATATCTATTAGCGAAATCTTAAGGTTGACGCAATATTATTATATTGAGTTAGCGATTTTTAAAATCGACTCAAATCGATCCCTTTAACAACACTACATAAATGTAATAATAAATATACACACATATATTTTACAAGGCGGCGAACAATGTAACGCCAGTTTCCATGTTACACCCTCATCCTTGCTCCTCAGCAGCGACTGGCAATATCGGCACCCGCCCTCCAGTGCCCGATGAGCCTCAGGACTCGTTGTTCATGATGATGACATCATGCCTCTTGCAGCAACAACCCCTGGCCTTAGGCTACTACGTCTCCACCTCTCCAGTCTATCATTTTCTACCTCGCTGGTTCGCCTCTGGCCTAGATCCTTGGCCCGTCACCCGCGTCTCTTTCCTCAATGTATTAAAAACAATTTTAAATATAGTACTAATTTTTTTTTATCCCGTGTTGAGAGTTGAAATGAATTGTTCATCAAACCGTAGAAAGGTGATCGGGCTTAGGAATTATAGCCATCAACATCTGCACTGCTCCCTCTGAATATATTTTTAAACTTATCTGGATTTACTAATTATTGCCTTAATTTTTTATTTAAAAACTGTTACTATCCAATAAATATTAGTCTTCACTTCACATCAACAGTGCTTCCGTCATGAAAGATTCAGAAGAAGTTGATTATAACAGGGGAACCAATTTTAGCAGTCTAAATTTCAATACTAATAGTTCAAGTTCTGATAATCACTCTTTGGATTCTGGACAAACAACCGATATTTTGAGGTTAAATATTTTATGGCATCTTATGCTATTTTTATATAATCTTATAGTATTTTAAAACCAGTTTTGGTTATATAACATTTTACCTCATCATTTCAACCCGGAAGTATTTCATTTTAAATATAAAATAGTTCTAAAATGATATTTTGCATGTTAAAATGCGACACATAAAAAGTTTGAAATGATATTTTACAAGTGGAATTCTATAATTTTTTTTATCTAACAAGACATTTTATTATTTTAAAGCTCAATGATTTCAATAATTTATCTTTTATTTGTTTATATTTTTTATCACTTAAATATAATAGATTCGTGCTAGAAGGTTACAATAGATTGTCTTGGTTAGTCGTAGACCCTTATACGAGGGACAGGACTTCTTGTTTACCTATTCACATACAAATACTGCTAAATATATATCATTTATTGGCAACATTTAAAAGCTAATCAAAAGAATATCCCTTATAGATCATTTGTTTATTTTGGTGTTCGAAGCAAGTTTAGTATATATTTTTTTAAATAAAAAGAACAATGCAAAAAAATTTAAAAAAACAACAAAATTACAATTTTTAATTAGAATTAGGACAACACTTAGAAATTATATAAAAAATTTCAGGTCTGGGTTACTTTTCAAATCAATTTAATGGTACTTTTCAGATAACCTATATATATCAATTTTATTAAAATTTGTGTTTGATTTTTAATTTAATATTAAATTAAAATATTAATTATGCATATCCCATCCTATATAGAATTTTGATATCCGTTTTATTATTTATTTATTTATTGTATTTAAATTCAATTCACACAAAAACCAACAATAAATATAATTATATTATTAATGTATTTTTTTCATACATTTAATTTATATATTTTTTGATTTTGTACATATATAATTATTGATTAAAATAAATACAATGACAAAGTAGTACCTTTTTTATCTAAAAAAATTTATTTCATGTCAAAAAAATTTTTAAATATTATTTGATAGAGTTGATTATGTATGATATTGTCTTGCAAAAATATCCTAATTAAATAAACTTTCTTCTTTTCATGGCCCTTTTACAGGTTCACTCGGATACAAGTTTCCCTTCTAACCCCCTTTCTTTATTTTCCACAATCTGGGCATCACCACTAGTTTAATCTAACATTATTTTCACCCAACTTGTCTTTGGTTTCCCTCCTGGTCTTGCTCCCGCCACTTCTACTAGACTACATCTATTCATCCAATCGTCCTTTTAGACACTTGAACGGAAATGTTCATAGAAGGGAATGAGCAAGTTTTACGATCGGAGATACCCTTCCTGACTTCATACTTATTTGTTGACTTTTACAACCTGCCGAGGAAATGATGATTTTTTTCTATCCCTGATTACAGGGAACCTTCTAACCTCCATTATCCGTCGTATCATGCTGTTACTCTCCCGCCATTGGTATTTATTAATCATGTTAAATTTTATAACCATTCACAAAAGACTAAAGAAAGACGAAGCATTAGTTTATTATTCTAAATTATATATATTGTATTCGAGGTGGAAGTATAAATTTGAAACAAGATCTTTTTTGATGAATTGAAAAAGGATTTATAATACTGGGAAACCAATAAAAACAACCCTTAAGAATTCATTCGTGTCATAATGGTTACTCAATTGACTGAGTGTAGTTTTTTTTCCATTCTCTAGTTTATAATTTATAATACTGTATAAATATAAAAGGAGTTGCTCTTAGATATTTAATACTTCGATTATTTAAAATGTTCTGCGACACATCCAAACCGAATCCCGGGAAAGGGCCTATGTGGGAAAAAACTCGACCTAATAAACTGCTTGAAAAAAACTGACGGTAAAAAATCGGCGGAATTAAAAAATAAAATATGTGGAAATCTATATTAAACATCTTTTGTATAATATAATAAAAGCTAAATTGTGTTGATTTCAGTTTTTTGCATAAATTTAATTCAAAATTAATTGATTGTTCCGAATATCTTACATCATGCATACTATTTCTATATAATATACCTGTATTAACAAATATTTAATATTCCAAAAGAAAAGGGGAAAATTAATCTATCTTAATAATCGAAGTTCTGTTAGCCTGAATTTTAAGTCCACAGGATTTTTTTGGCAGTTTTTTCCTTCATGTTTTTTTTACCCTAAGATTTTTCAGTCGTGTTTTTTTCCCGAATACCATCCAAACCATAGAATTAACTCAATGCCATTATCAGGTTTCTCTTTGATTATAATTTATTACGTTAAATCGCACCTAGAATATATATGCCATAATTACGATAATCATAACATTGTAATGGAATTAATTTCTAAAATATTTTCCTCCATAATATATAAAGTAAAAGAATTATAAACAATTATTTTTTTGAAATCTAAGTTTTGGTAATAACCCTTATAATAAAAAACAATCAAATTATTTCATTGTATTTTAATTTTATCATAACTTTTATTTTCTCCTTGAAAACGTATTCCTTACTTCGCACAATCAAGCAAAATATAATTTTTTTACTATTAATATTTAATGCTAAGAATTTCGTATTCTATTCTTCAAAGATTCAAGCATTTAACAATCTCATTTTAAAAAACGATGATCATAACCAATATTTCACTCAACTTTTAAACACTTTTATCCATTTTGAAAACACTTTGCCTCTTAGCAATGGTACTAACCAGGTAAATATTAATTCATTTCATTATAAAAAAATTAACCCTGTGGAACTACGCATTTTTAGGTCTCGTTTGATTTCATAAATTTGTTCCCCCACCATTTTTAATGATATTATTTATTTAAAAAATTTGGTAATTCGAAATCATTTTGTAATTTATATGGTATCATAGAAATGTTGAAAATATGCGAAGTGAGTGAAAGTTTAAATGACACATCATGTGATTTATTAACTAGTTAATTGATGGAATTTGAATTTAATAAATCAAATCCAAATAAAAATATTTATAAAATCGGCTTAAATTTTTATGCGCGGCCTTTTTCCAAATTACGGCCCGGTACCTGAGCCCTTATCAGATAAGGATTTGATACGGGCCTGCAGGTCTGATATAATATACAATTGATTACTAGATTTGTTCAATTCCCAGAAAATAGAGAATATTCATTTAAAAATTGTTACCTATATAATAATTTTTTTTTGTATTAGGAATATAAAAAAAATTCTACAAATTTATTAATTTTTATTTTCTAAATAAGGTCAACTCTAGTTGTGCTTCGGATTTAAAACATTATTTCATTCAAAACGATCAGTTTGATATCAAGACATGCCCTTGCCCAAATTGTTATCTTGAAATGTCTCAAATAAATCAAATTTTTTATATTACAAGCGAGTCGAAAATTCAAAATACAAGCAATTTATATAATGTATCAGTAGATTGGATTAATCAATTTAGCATTAAAATATTAGGTTCTATCGGAAAAATGATAACAGGATTAGATCAAGAAAGGACATTGATAATATCAAAATATATAGCTAAAGATGATACTCTTTTTTCATTTCTTTTCGATCAACCACTTAATTTTAATAACACATATTCTACCAACGATTTTGAAATAGTTCTAGTAGTTTATGATGCCCACTCTTTATATTCTATGGGGTCTTACAATAATCAAGCAACTAATAATTCTATAATTGAATTAAAGATGTTTGGGGATATGGGTCGTATAGTGTCACGACAAATATTGGATCCAAGCCAATGCCATCTATATAGAATATGCCTACAGGCTCAATATAAAAATCTAGAAAATCAAAATTTTCATAGATTTAGTATAATGAATGTCACGCTTTTATTGTTTTCATACGAAAATTGCTTGTACGTGAATTACGCTAACATACCTGAAAACGAAAATAAGAATCCATGGAACCAGCGCAAAAATGAAACATATGATTATATAGGATTACATCTATTTCCTAATAATAATTTAAAAGATATATTAGATGGATCTAACAAAATCTTCTACATATTAAACTCTTTCTTAAATCATTACAAGTCTAGAGATATCATTGACAAATTATCTATATTTTCTTATGTAATTTGGTTAATAAATCTCATGATGTCATCAAAAAAATTCAAGAGTAAGTATTTTTAATTATATTCTTCTAAACAGAAGATATATTATATTTTACAGAACTCTCACTTTATTTGTAATAATTTTTCAAAAGGTCTTTTGAAAGTTATATTTCTTTCTTTCTTTCTTTCTAAGATGTTTTATCATATTGGAATTAATTTCTTTTGTAAAATTTGAAGTATCTTAATACAACTTCCTTTTTAATAGAGACTGACATTGTACCTATTTTTGTTAGGTCCGACCCTTTCCAAGAAAAATTTTAAAATGTTTATCTCGCCTAGGCCTATTCAAAAACGTATTCGAATCGAATAGTGCATTAAACGAATCGAATAATTTACTATTTGAATTAGTACGAATAATAAAATCTACTATTTGTATTCGAGAAATGAATTTTCTTAATAAAATAAATCATACTCAAATATATTGACAAATTTTTTTATTGCAAATTTGATTTCAAACAGAAAAAATTATAATAATCCGATGACAAATAAATATAATCAAGTTATAAACAAAATTAAAATATTATATTATTCATTTAATTTATAATTTTAAGCCAATTTTTAAGGCAAAGGGTTTTTCTTATATTTTCTTCTTTATACGACATGCGGTTTTTTGACAACAAATTAGTTCCAACTGAGAAAAGTCTTTCACACGCAGTTGATGTTCCTTGTATAGATAAATAATCTCTTGCCATTTTTGAGAGTATGGGGATCCTATGTGCATTTGTCTTCCACCACATTAATGGATCAGTATCACTCTTTGATCTTGGCTTACTCAGGTAAAAATCGATTTCACATAGTTGAACATAATTTTGTTTAAAAACAATGTCAAGCCTGTTTTGTTGACTTTCATTCTTATTTTGGCAGTTGTAATTATCAGCAGCTTATAAAATAAAATGATATGTATTTAAATGGGGGTAAATTAAATACCTGTATATCTATTGTAAATCTCTTTAAATTTGTCCATTAACTTGGATATATCAATATCATAATCAACAGATATTGATTTAAAATATTCTACTTTAAGCCTGGGATCCAATATTGTAGCTATTATTGCATCATCTGCAGTTAAATTGTAATAGCCCAACAATTTATCACATGCCACTTTGAAATCATTGTTAGAGGTTTTATGGAAACAAGGTTTCTCATTTTTTAAGTGTTCAAGAATTAGAATATAATAGGGTATAACCAAATTATAAGTAGGATAATTTTCCCCACAAACCATATTTGTAGTCTCATACAAAGGCAATAGGATAGATTTAATTTTTACAAGATCGTCCCATTCCTCCTGTATGTTATGTTAATAAAGTATTATATACCTATTTATAAATTTTAGTTTACCTCTGATAATTGTTTTTCTTGAAGAATTATAATATTAGTTATAACTTCATTAACTAATTTTTTTATAGCAGGCTTTAACAATAAGCCCCTTTCAATCATTTGGTAGGTGCTATTCCACCTTATTTCACAATCCAATTTGGGTTTTAAAAAATTTATAGGAGGATGTAGTGAAATACATATATTTTTTAATAAATTAAATTTTTTAGGAGAATTACGTATCATCCTAATAATGTTTCGTAGTTTTAAAATTGATGGATTTAAAATTTCTTTGGATATTAAATTAATAACATGAGCAAAGCATCGAATGTGCCCTATTTTTATTGATGGATATTTTAAAGAAAATGAATCAATAAATGTTTTATTATTAGTAGCATAAAAAATTTTATTCTCCAAATTATAATTTTTAATTATTTTAATAAAGGCTTTAAATATGTTTTCACCTGAATGTTGTTCATTTATTGGAGCAACATCCAAAATTATGTTATTTATTTTAAAATTATCATCAATAAAATGGGCTGTTAATTCTAAAAAAGGAACCTGAGTTGGGCTAGTCCAAATATCAGATGAAAAATTAATCTGACTCTTATTTTTGGATATTATATCCTTTACCAACTGTTCTTTTTCTGCAAATGTATTATACATATGCAATTTAAGAGTATTGGAGCATATTGATTTTATAGAAGAATCAAGATCATTTATAAAATTTTTAAAATCAGGTGAATTAATAATTTTAAAAGATAAATTATTATTAATAAATAATTTTAGTAAGTTATCTTTATAATTTATTTTTTTAGATAAAGAAAAAGATGATATAGGTTTTAAAAAGTGTCAATTTTATTCCTGTTTTTACAGAGATGTGAATGAAACCTATTATAATGATTAATAAGAGGCGATGTTGTTTTGCCTTTGCATTTAATAATGCTCTTGCAATGATTGCAAGCAGCCTTTTCACCATTGAGTTGATATTGATCCCATATAATCGCTCTTTTTTGTGAAGAAATTTTGTCAATATCAACCATAACTATTTCATCAGAATCATTCTCCTCTAACAAATTAGGCTAGCTAACAATATTTTATTATAAAGATATAATATATTTTTATATACCTTTGGTTTGTATATATTTTTATATACTTTTGGTTTGTGTAATTTTTAATAAAATTAATTTTGAAAAAATACGGGAAATTAAAATTTTTGCTAGTCTTTTTATAAACACCACCTGTCAGATTGGCAGGTTATCAAATAGAAATGACAAATGTTAGATTTATTTTTTAAAAAAGCAATTTATTAAATATTACGAACAATTCGTTTTATTCTAATCGAATAAATGATTATTCGTATTCGGATAAAACAAATAATTTATTATTCGTATTCGTAATTATTCGTATTTTTTTTGAATAGGCCTAATCTCGCCGATCCGAGATCCCCCCCCCAACCCTTACCCCCCCCCCCCCAAAGATCCGAGTCCTATCAAAGATTTTAATTTGGCAATAGACCCGAGTCCGATCTTATTCAATTATTTTTTATTGGTCTATTGAAAACTAAATGGGGATAATTACAAACGCTTAAGGTTAATTGTTAAACGGCTCGACAAACCCAGAGAATAGATAACAGAAAGGTTTGGACATCTATTAACGAAATCTCAAGACATACATAATTTTGGCTAAAATATTGGGTTAGTCGTTTTAAAAATCGAGTGGTTTAACAACACTACTTAAGGTTGATCAATTTTTCAGTTATTCTTGAAAATGATTTTCATTAAAACATTAGAAAAATAAATTAATTAAATAAATTTTAAAATCAAAGTCCGAGTCCAAGAAGATGTCTATCCGACCAACCCAAGTTCGTCTGGATTGGATTTTGACCTGCAGAGCTCTACTCTATAATTTACAATTTTTCTACTAATCCAAATTTAGATCAGCAGCGCATTTAAGGTGAGGCATTTTACCCAGGGCGTAGATTTCCCTGGAAACTATATTTTGGGGTTATTTAAGGGGATATTCCTCTTTAAAAAATATTTTACAGGGAAATGTATTTTTTTTTCATGTTTTATTGAAAACAGATAGACCACTATTAACATGTTATTTAAACAAGTATGATATAATTTCGTTTATTTTGTTCGTTATCTTTGAAGATGAAAGCGATTGCATATAAGAGCTTGAACAACTAGAATTGAGTCATTTATCATTTTCAGAAGTTGCTTCTCCGAGATTCATTCTTATAAAAACTAGTTTTCTGACCTTATCAATTTTTTTAAAATCCTATTTCGAAATTGCGAATTATCAGTAAAAATGTAAAGTATTGCTCCTCAAAAATATTTTTATTTTAGGTTATTAATTATCAAAATACGTGCCCAGTAAGTTGGATTAGGCAACTTAAGGAAGCAATCCTAATTTTATCTCAAAATATAGTTGTTTTTCCTTAAATGGTTGGATTTTATTTATTTTGTCTTTTTGCCTTTGCTAATATTTGAATTAGTGATCTGCATCGGGCCTAATTTTTCAAGCCCAACCCGGCCCGAAATTATTTTTAAAGAATTTTGCCGGCCCGACTTAAACCCGAAATATCCTTTAAAGAGTTTTCCGGCCCGGTCAGAATTTATTTAAATAAAGAAATTAATTTTTATAATTACTCAAAATAAAAGATATATGTTATATGGCGTCTATTTTCTATAAATAAAATCAAATATTTTTATTTTACATTAAAAATTCAACATAAAATTGATAAATTTAGATATATTTTAAAAAATTTCCAAGGCCCGACCCGGCCCGAATTTTTTTAAAAAATATTAGGCAAGAGCCCAATTTCACGGGCCAGGTACGTGCCGGGCCTACTTTTGCAGATCTCTAATTTGAATTGCATTATTTTATTTGCCTTTAAAAGCAATTAAGTGCATGAGCTGCACACCCGATGTATTCCATATTTCAATATTTATTTCTTACAAGTATCTGTTCTTTCTTCATATTATTTGCATCATCAGTTATATTTATTTTTGTATTTCCTATTTCTTCAATTGATTTAATAAATTTATTAGATAGATTTCTATGTATGCATATTGGTCCCTATTTCATTTGATTTATAGAACATGTGGCTTGGGGTTGCTATAATAATATTTATATTGCCCATCACTAATGAGGGTCAAATTTTTATTTTTATCTATTCTTTTGAATACTATATTTTTAATCATTTCATATTCACTGTTTAAAAAAATTTTTACTAAGTAAATACATGAAGGTATTTTAAATTTAGGTTTTAAAGATGGAAATAATTTTGGAAATTGGATAATTTGACATAAAGATGGTGCAAATTCAATATAAATATATTTACTAGGCTAGGTAATTAATTAAGACTAGTATTTTGTGAAATGTGAATTTCCAAAATTGTAAATGAGATAGAACAATAATTAATTTAGACGAGTATTATGTTGTAAAATTTTATAATAAAAATTAAGGTTGAACTCAAGGAAGTTTACGTCCCCTCATTAGAATTTCTATTAGTCTGTCTATAAACACATGATCTGTCAGATTTGTTTTAAAAAAAAATTAACCCTTAGAGGTCTGAAAATGAAAATTTTTTTGTCCGAGTCCATGCACACATTTTTTTTAGTCCGACCCGAGCCCGAATAAAATTTTACAATTTGAGTTTGAATATTATAATATTCAAAAAAAAATTTATGTGGATTTATTCATCGCCACCTTAAATAAAAGTTTATTTGACGGCCATAATCTAATCAAAAATATAAAATGCAATCGAATTTAAAAATATAGAGATTATATATCTCAAAATTAATGATTAATAGAGTTTCTTATAAAGTTTATCCATCCTTAAGCAAGATCCTTGATAGTGAAGATCAACCAACCCTTTTAGACCACTCCACGTTAGAAAAGGGTGGTCAGCTACGTTGGGTTAGATTTTAGAAATCAAATGGAATCTAGTTCTTTATCTGCCATTATTGGTTTAAACTGAACCCATCTTACTAACAAAATAATTAGATTCTGTTTAGTTATTAAACCCGATCTGAATGCAGCCTAACACTTTTTCTTAAAATTTGGATTGTAGACACTAATCTTATATATGTTACTGATTTGGATCACCCCTAAACAATCTCTAATAAATAGTTGCTAGATTAATTAATATCTATCTAATTAAATAGCCCCATATTTTCATATTAAAAATATTACTTTAATGGATGCCAAATTAAAAAAAATTCGTGAAAAGATTGAAATCAATGAATATGAAGTAAGGGAAAATGCCAATGGCAAATCTGAGGTCTCACAAAATTCATACTAATATTTCTTTTGATGTATAGTAGTTTAATTTATTACAATCAATTGATGATTATAATTCAAAAATAATATTGCTTAGAGCCCTCTAATAACTTAGTGATTGCAAACACAATATTTTTATTATGACATCAAATTGTAAACTAATTTTTTTTATATTTTATGATAATTCAGATCAATTCAATATGACTAAAATGGTAATGTCGACATTCTTAAAATACGAATCTGTTATATATCCTGATCGTGTACTAACAAAAGTGACCGTTGTTTTATCACATAATAATAATAACAATGTAGTACTTTTAATAGTATTATGCCTTAGAAAGATAGGTGCATTTCGAAAAAATACAACAAACCTCAATTATAATATGTTTGAATTCGGGATAAATGATAATGAGGATACTTCCAAATCTTATGATAATTTATACTGGATAATTGGGATTTGTGGGACAATAATTTTGATAATGATTATTATCATAATTATTGTCATAGCATTTAAACTGAAGAAAAAGAGTGGTTTTGATGAATGTAAAAGAAATAGATCCTTCCTAACCTACTTTTTTTCCTGTTCGGTTTTGATAAACTTATTTATAAAAAGTGGTAGCGATCAAAAATGTTCTGGTAAAGATGCCAATCAATCTACTTCCTTACGTTACCATTCGTATAGACACGAGAATGGCCATGAAGAACTTTTACAAATGGTAAATAAAGTAGGAACAAATAAATCAGTAGAGCAAAATTTAATGGCTATAATTGTTGACGAAGACACTACTATAGTTGAAAATGGGAATATATCTATATTTGATCCACTTATATGTAAAACCGATGTAGTTTATGAATTATATTAGACTCGCTTATCGTTTATCAGTTTTAAAATATTTGAATTTTTTAACAATATTTTTGTTAAATATCTTAATTTGTAATTTGATTAGTCATGAAAATTCATGAATTAATATATGCCGGGCATAATTTTTATCATTCAATATGAAGATAAGTTTTTCCCAGGGTTTTATAAATGGCTGAAAAATTGGAGATCAATAATAATGAAAATATTTTTGCTCAAGCAGAATTTTTGACCCAATTTTACCCAAAATTCCAAATCTTTTATGAATAAATATTTTGCGATTTTTATGTATAAAAGTTTTTCATGATGAAATTACAAATTTTAAACAAAATTTATTCAATTTAGTTAATCTATAAAAAAAAAATTATCAAAATTTGGGCGAAAGAAATCTCAAATGCTCGTTTGACTTTTGTTAAACACTGGTTTTTTCCAAATGTTTCTTTCTTATAATTTATTCATTTATAAAATATTAATTTATTTATAATGCTGGTATAAAATTTTGCGCAAAAAATCATTATAAAAAAAATTTATTCTTGCAAATAGTTTTCATTCTCGTTTATATTCAATCGATTGCATCAAGCTTAAAAGAAAAATGTTCCAATATAGGCAAAGATCTTGTATTACCTTTACAGAATATTATTTAAATGTATAGTTCTTAAAAATTGAAGCATTTTCCTAATTCAGATAATGTATTTTATGGCAATATACAAATTAATAAACCTTTTTTTAACGAAAAATAATTTGTTTTTCACATTTAAAAAAAATGTTTTAGAATAACACAACACTAAACGCTTCTGCCCAATTTTATCATAATAAAAATATTATATAAAAGCGCAATGAAACAACGAAATGAACCCTGAAAATACTAATTTTTAGTATTCGACTTTAAGGACTAATCTTTTTCACCAAAAAATGTATAATTTTGTAATGCATATGCGCTTATAATTTTTTTTTAAATATTAGACAACTTTTGAAAAGGTTTTTAATTTATGTCTATATGATTTACCCTGCAAAAGTATCATTTTTATAATTTTCCTAAAATTAGAATTAATAAATTTCCCATTTAAATATATTATGTAAAAGAAAAAATTGCTAATTATTATAAAATAAAGGAGGTTATGATGCTTTAAAATTCGATTTTAGGGATATTTAACGAGGTTTAAACGAACCATTTATTTCCTAATATAAATAATAAAGTTCACTTTAATGAGGTTACTTTTTAGGGCTCGCTTTACCCCTTTGGGGTGCGTGGTTGATTTATTTTGGCAAAAGAAAGTTAGATATATTTTTTTTGAAAAACCTTTTTTTACTGTTACTTTTTTGTTAAGCCCCCAGAAATAATTAAATATAAATTATAATTATAGCTTGATTATAAGAAAGTCATATTTACCTGAATCATTTATTTTCACGTGCAAATCACCAACTTGGAACGAACTATTAACGAGGTCCGATGTTAATTCGCAATCAGCTATCAAAATGTATTTTACTGGACTGCATTAGTATAAGGCAAAGATAAATGAATATGATATGAACTCAAAATAATAATGTTAATACGCACTTGATATCGTCTAAATTACTAATAGCTGAATATATCGATTCCTAATTATTTTTCAAAAAAAATTATACACATGTCTATATTTGAAACATTAAATTACTTGCGTTGAATTGGGAAATGATTGTTTGGAGATTTTGTTAGAATAATTGTCGCCATACTTATCACTTGCTATGAGATTTAATCTGTTGGAAGGTTGAACGAAATCAACGCTGCACGAAGAACTCATATTACCGCGACCTTTATTGATTTTGCCATTAGGATAAGGCGGTAGAAAGTTGTGGCTCAAAAAATTCCCTAAATTTATCTTTTTAAACGTTGCCATGGCATTACCCATATTTTTAGATGGTGATGTTATAGTAGATAGATCTGCCTTAAATCTCATCGTTGGCCAATACGAAACAAAATTACTGGTAGATTTGGAATTCGTTAGTCCATTCAATGAGTATTTAGATACTAAATTTTTAGCAGTGGGTATTCGCGTCTTCTATAATTTAATTTTTTAATATAATATATATTTTAAGTGGGGTTGGCAGTAACGCAAATACGTCTATTTAATACCAAATACAAATACTTTATTGTATTTAGTATTTATTAGAATATTTTAGAAAGTATTTAGCATTTATATTTTAAATACCAAAAAATAAAAAGTATTTTATATTTATTACGATTACGATTTTCAGACGAATACAGATACTCTTTTTTTTATTATAAATTGAATTATTAAATGTCACATTATTTATTTAAATTTGTGACCCGATTTAATTCTGATGTTAGGTGTAAGATAAATCAATTATGTAATTCTTTTATCATGAATTTCATATGCAATATAAAGTAAACAAGAGTCAATTTGGATTTCATTATTTTAATTAAAGTGTTTTTAAACATGATTATTTTATCAAAAATGGCTTTATTCTTAGGGCTTATATTATAATGACGGATTTTGACTGAACATTGGATTAATCAATAATATTTAAATCTTCTACACTATTTTATTCATTTTAAGCGAATAATTGATAAATCCTTTTTATAAACTAAGAGTGAAGATGGGAGTGGGGGGAGGGGTAAGTCATGAGGAAATTTCTCTAGAAAAATTTGTATTCCCGTTAATATCATTATAAACTATTAAAAATTATAAGCCAATGCTCCTATGTCTAATTTTTTTTAAAAAATAAGGCCTACACATTTATGGGGGAGGGGGGAGGTCCAGAAAATCCCACCTACACTTACGCATATTATGTTCGAGATAGAAAAATATTCGCATTTTGCAAAAAAAAACCCAAAACTTAAACTCTGAATTTTCTAATTTTATTTAATCATTTCACAAGAAAAGTTTAAGAAGACATAATTCAACCCATAATTAAATTCAAAATTTTACAAATTGATCCAAGATTTTCGATTTGAATATGAATCTAGAACTACTACAATAAAATTCTAGTTTGATAACAAAATCAGGAGGCATGTCGTAGCTTTATTATTTTGTTTTTCAAAATAAAATTTTTATGAACATAATGATAAAAACAAATTTTTTTAATGTTAATTTAATTTATACAATGTAAAAATATCTTTTTCAAAGGTCACGTCAGTGAAAGCAGCATTTATTCCCGTTATTAAAGACGATTCCAAAATTTGATTTTTAAATATGGCCAAGGCAAATAGACACCAACTACTACCATTGTCTGAATCTTTTTTTAAAATTATCAAAACAAATTTCAATTTAATAAAAATAACATTTCAATTAAAATTGTCAGGTATACTTGAAGGATAATCACTTTACATTAAAAATAAAATTTTTGAAAAAACTATTATCGATTTTTCCCAAACAATGTTGAAAATTCAGCTTCATTTTATAAATAATTTTATAACATTGCTTGGGGGAGAGGGGGGAAAGTAATATTGGGGTTGGTACGATCTTATTCCATAATTCCCCAAATAATAAACTTTATATTCTTTTTTGAATTGATAAATTTATCTGGTTAATGATGCTTACTACCTCAAGGTACTACCTATCGAATTTGAATTTTGTTTATTTTTCATTTGGATAGGCACTACCAAATATATTTATAATATATATTTGAAAAATCCTGATTTTTGAAAAGCCTCTATGGCTTAGTCGGCAAGAGCTTCGCTTACTGATCCCATGGTCACCGGTTCGAATCCCAGTAATGATCATGTTTTTTTTCTTATTCTAACTTGGTGGTTCCATCCTTGGGGGATGATATATAGGAGGCCGGGCTCGACCACGTGATTCCATTATAATATATTAAATAATAAGGGTCTTATTACATTTTAATAAATTTTGGTCGGTATTTAGCAAATTAGGTTGGTATTTAGAATATTTCCAAACATTCACTTGGTAGTAAGCATCATTAACCAATTTATCTCAAGTATCAAAATTTAAAACTTTGTAGAAGGCTAGGGGAATATTGTTGGAGGCGGCTGGTACAATCTATTCATCCCGTAGTAATGGGCTCCCAACAATTCATTTAGTGACCATAATATTTTTTCAAAAACAGATCTTGCACATTAAAAATTTTGAAAAAAAGGGAGTATCAATTATCTTCTGCTATCTAGGAGCTAAATCTCCAGTCTTACATAATATTATTTTGGCTAAAATTTTAATCGGGACATTTTAAAAAAATCGGGCCGTTTAACAACACTGTATTCAATAAATTCTACATTAGATAGAATTACGTATAAGACCTATAAAATGAATTTATTATAAAAAATTTAATAGCTTTTATTTCATGGACATTTAATTTTGGGGTGTCGCACCAACCCCTACCCTATATCCCTTAAGTGTTTATCCTAATTTTATTATTTTAAACAAATATTATCAAGATTATTAATTGATTACTTTAGACATAGTTTGATCAAGAATTATTCTTAAACAAATCAGCTTATAGAAGGTTTTATTATTCAAATAAAACATGATGTTTATTATTTGGGTTCATGGAGATATGATGCATTTCCTGGATTGACCAGTTTTTATTTTTCAAATCGTAACCATAACTGGACTGTATATTAAATCTTAAAATGAGATAACTGGAGTTCTTGTGAAAATCTGAATTAAAGTAGTTCTAAAGGAAATGCGAACTGATTATAATTTGTTTTTTTTTATAATATAGAAAGTAGAAAATAGACCAATCTGGTGTAAGTTTTAGGCTTTTTGATCGCATTTTCTTACTCTTTTTTGTCACTTTTTAAATATAAGGAAAGTCTTAACTCAAAGCCTCCATTCGACTTCAATATTAAGCCTTTGATCATTTACACCATATTTTCAGAAAACATTATCAAAAGTATATATAATTTATTAAAATTATATTATTATTTGTTTAATTATTATTATTTTTGATAGTAGTAGTATTTTCTAAATAATTAAATATTAAATAAATTGTTTTTATTGAAGTTGATATTTTATTTGTAATAACATCTCTAATATCTATATTATATATATAAAAGATTCAAAAATAAAACAAGAGGTAATAATTATAAAGAATAAAAAAAATTTATGTATATATTTAAATATATTCGGGCCAGGTGCACAATTAATTTTTAGACGGGCTTTTCAGGACAAATAAAAAAAATTAGTTCGAAATCGGGTGGGACAAATTTTTTTAAAAAATTACAGGTAGTGCTGGAAAATTAAGGTCCTATACAGATCAATATATAAAGATATATAAACAAATAAACTCACCAGAAATTTTGGCTTTGATTTTTACCGATTTAAAGTGTTCTTTTTCTGTCCACAACAAAGGTATTCTTATATCTATAACAATAATAAAATCTATATATTAAATTATGATTTGTAGAGCAAACATATTTTATCAATTTTTTTTAATATAAAGAAAAATATATGAAAAAAGTTTTCACTCTCCAATCAATGTTAATTTATAATATTAACGTATTAACTTTATTTTAAATAAAATAAAATTTAATAGAAGAACAAACATAAAGGATTTATATATGCCTAAGGAAGGAACGTCTTCATTTTTTGTATAGCTTTTTTGGGCATTAATGCCCTTTTTAAAAAACATAGAACAACTTTTCTTTTTTCAATCTAGTTAGAAGAAAAAGGATGGACATAATCTTCCTAAAAAACGTCAATATGTTTGTGAAAAAGGACATTATTATTTGAATGTAATTTATAAATTAAAAATCACGCTCCATTAAATTGGCTTAACGATCTTTACACAAATTATAAATACTTTTGCCAAGATTCAGCAGAAAACCAGAGTGCGTAAAGTTATAAGTGAATCTACATCTTAACCAAATTTTATAATTTTCTCGAATCGATTTAAAACCTTTTTCTTAGTGAGTTATATTAATAGCCAGAGTTTGGCATGCAGCTATCGTTTAGAGAAAATATATAATGGTCACATTACGGCAGTGGCGTAGACAAGGGGGTGGGGGTTTGGGGTTGAAACCCCCCCCCCCATAACCTCCGAAATTTTTTAGAAAATCTTTTTTTTAGATTTTTTTCTTATTGCGAATAATTTTATTTAAAAAACGGTTTCAATTCATGAATAAATTTCTCATAATGAAGGGAATTTCAAGGAATTATTGAAACTTTTATGTAATAATAATGATAACTATATAAAGCTTTTTGAAAGCTCTGCTAAAAATGCCACCTACCCTACCTTAGTCCAATTATTCAAAATGAAATAATAGCCATATGCAAATAGGTTCATATTGAAAGAAATTTCTTCAAAAGTGAAAGCATCACCATTTTTTAGTATTTTGGCAGATGAGACTTCGATGTTGGTAGCATAGAGCAATTATCCATAGCAGTAAGGTTTATTGATATGGAATCAGGTGATTTCAAAATGAACGAACACTTTGTTCAATTTATTGACTTACATGACACTAAATCAAAGACGTTAGCTAATAAATTTTAGCATCCATTTAAGACCTAGATTTAAATTTAAATCTAATGAAGGATATGATAGAGTTCCCTGATTGGTCACGTTAAAGGAGTGCAGTCAAGAATTAGACAGCTTTATCACATCTCTATATGTCACTGTAGTTCACATTGCCTAATTTGATGATATATGAGGCATGCGAAATTCGAGACATCCGGAACAGTTTACGTAAAAATATTTTAATTTAATTGGAATTTATTGGATTTTATTATGTATTATAGGTATCTTTTTAAAATTCTAATATATTTTTAAATATAGAAACAATATCGTCGGTTTGTGACTTTTTCACACCACCCAAGAAGAGGCAGCCTTTTAACCGAACGTTTATGATATTGATTCAAATAATCAAAAAAAAACTAAAAAGATTTTGCACAACTATTTATTGAAAGACAACAATCAGTGAGACTTTTCATAGAATTATATGAAGTTACTTTTGCAGCTAGTTACTTTTGCAGCTCTCGAATTCTACATATCAAGCAAAGTATAGGATTCCGCAGATGCTGATAATCTTTTGCAGGCTATTACGAAGCCACATTTTTAATATCAATTCAATGTGTATATTTTTTATTAAATTATACATATGAAATATGATTTTAGCAAAATGCTACAAAAAATTGATTTGGATTTAAGGGAGGTTATGAATAGGGCAATGGATAATGTTGAAATATTAACAAATATCAGAGATAATAAATGAAAATTTCATGAAATATACGAGAAAGTAAAGGAGATCGCTAATATGTTTGGGATTGAAATTTTTAAACCTAGAGTAGTTTTTAGAGAGTCCAATCGCTTAAATATTGATGCATCTACGATTGAGGATTTTTATAAAATAAATATTTTATTCTACATTTTTATTTATTAAATGAAAGATTTATTAGTCACAATTTTATTTTAAAAAGCTTTTATTTTCTTCTGTCAGTTGAGTCTGAATTGTTGATTACACTTGAAACGCGAGAGGATATTAAGAAAATCTCATTTTATTCTAATGATTTATCAGGATCGCATATAAGTTACTGTGATGTCGTATTTTGGTATAAAAATCTTGATAAAATAGAATAATCTTTGAGTCCAAAAAATGCTTTGCAGGCCCTTTCCATGTGTAATTGCATTTTAGATTCTCTGCCTATTTTTAATAAAACTATTGCATTTGCAATATGAATTATTTATATTTTGATTCATTTGTATTAATTATTTAATTTATTTTTTTTAAATAATACCGTACAAGAATTACTTATATTTTATTTAAATTATATTTTTTTAAAATAATACCGTACAAGAATTACTTATATTTTATTGAATTATATTTTTTTAAATATATTTGTATACAATAAATTTTTAATATAATAATCTATATAAAATTTCTACATTTTGAAATTTATTTTATTGTATTTTATCATTAAAATAAATAAGGGATGAAGTTATTTATACCATATTATTTTAACAATAAATAAAATCTATAATGAAATTCTCTAAAATTTAATTAAAATTATTAATTTTAACACTCAATAAGTTATATTGAGTGATCATAAAAATGGAAAGTTTGGGGGGCAAATTTTTTTCTTTTTTCTACACTGGATAGATTAATTTACAATTTATTAAACATTGATAAAATTTTTAGAATAACGTTTCCAGCCGCTTATTAACCATAAATTTGGCCAAAATTCTGTTACTAATATTCTTTCATTTATGCTGGCTACTATATGGTAATGTTGTTAAACGGCTCGTTTGAGACGATTTTTAAAAACGGCTAACTCAATATTTTAGCCAGAAAAATATTGCCTAAGCCTTGAGATTTTGTTAATAGATGTTCAAACCTTTGTTCCTTCTACAAACAAAATCTTCAGTCTTGCTTAATATTATTCAGGATGAAATATTGAGTTAGTCGTTTTTAAAAATCGGCTCAAAAAGAGCCGTTTAGCAACACTAATAGTTATTTGACACTAATAAAGCACATAATATTAGCAAAATTTAAAAATAGGGTTTGGGAACGAAGCCCCCCCCCCCAAAAAAAATATTAGCCCCCCCCCCAATGGATAAATCCTGGCTACGCCACTGTAATACGGTTATTTGAAGAAAAAGAGTTTAACATTAAATCTCTTCGATATATAATTAAAATAATTGTAAGTTAACAAAATAAGAATAGGATATATAAATAATTCTTATGTATGATTAGTTTGGACATCCGGGGACTTCCTGAGAGGAGAAAAAATGCGTGATTTATATATATGGTAAATTTCATATCAAATCAATCGAGGTTTCAACCCCACCCACTCAGAATTTTTTATAAATTTTGTATATTGGAGTATATACTATAAGAAAAAAAAAGAAATTTTACTTCCTCACTACTTACTCGCTAAGATTTGGTCGTTTAAAGAGCGGAAGAATGGTATATTTTTGACAAAATGCACTTTAATTTTCAAATATCTCAAGAATAAATTAAGTTAGAGCAATCAAGTTTTATCATATAGCTTAATAATAGATCTTTAATATGACTTATAAATAAATGTGATAACAACCCTATTAATACCAAATACCGTAAGTACAAAACATAAAATGGCCATAGAAAAAGAGGATAATTTTTTTCCGTGGATGTATAAACTGTTTTATAAATCCTAAACTGGGTTGAAAGCGGGACTAGGAGTTATGAGCATTTATATGGCTAAAATTGATCAAATTTAACATAAATATCATCATATTTAAATTTTATGGATTACTCTATTTAGCTAAATAATTTCTATAATTATATGTAGTACAATCAAAATTTTATAATATTATATAAAAAATAAAATATATCAATTCATACAAATGTAATGGATACATGCAGGGTTTCAAACTGAACCGCCAAACCGGCGTTATAATTTTCTGAACCGTATTCGAACCGTTATAAAGAAAATATAAAAAGAGCGAATCGAACTGTTTTTTATAGCGATTCAAAACTATTTTAAAAAATAATAAATTTTAAATTATTAAATATTTGAAGTTTTAATTTTCGGGGGCAATTTTTAAATTAGTGATTTCTTTTCAAATTAAAATTTTTTTATATTATTTACATATCGATCAATACCAAGTTTATTGTTTTTACTTTAAATACTCAATAATAGAGATTAGGCAAATTACCAGTTATTTAGATAAGATATAATCTTAAAATCATCAAAACTATTCTTGGTTAAACTAACAAATTTATTCTTATATTTATATATATCAGTTATTAATTAGCTTTTATAATTATACTTGCAAATAATTTCATAATTCTATCATTAATAACTACATCTAATAAAAATCAAGTACTGATTTTTAACATTTGAAGAAAAAGAGATCGCCAAAAAGCATCTTTTTAAAATTTGGAACTTGATACAAAATTTAAATAATCAGAATATTGAAATTCTAGATGTGATGCCTATGTGTTCATATTCGATAGATAATTTAGATGATGATTTTGAATATTTATTAAAGTCGGAAAGCTTTAATAAAATAATTCTCTTGAAGAAAATTATAATAAATATATAGAAATAGAATATATATAATTCGATCATTTGATAATATAGAGAGATTAGAAAAAGATACTAATATTTTAAATTATTGGGAAAATGTAAAGAATAGTATGCCAGAACTTTATAAGTTAGCTATAATTGTGCTAGTAGTTCCAGTCCAGCTACACAGGTATCCATAGAGCATTTTTTAGTTTTAAGTTTATACTCTCTTGGCAGAGAATTAAATTAAATCCTGAAATATTAGAAAATATTTCAGTTATCCGTTCTAATTCTCTTTTTAAACATAAATAGTATAAATCCCATTATATTTATGCGTTATTTTATTCCTCATTGTATTTGCGCATGTTTGTTTTTATCTAATTTATTTATGAAATATAAAAGATTAATGTGTCTATTTATATTTACTAAGTTTAATAAAAAAATATCTATTAGATTATCAAAGTTAAATTAAATAAGAAATTATATAAATATAAATTAAAAAGATTTTTCTCTAAGATTAATGTATATGGTTTATGATTAAATTTTTTTAAAAAATCAAATTTATAAAAACCGGAACAAACCGAGAAAAACCGTTATAAATTATAAATCGAACCGAACTAATATAAATTTTTTCAAAAAAAACCGGAATGGAACAAAACCTCTATTAAATTTTAAACTAAAACCGAACCTAACCGCTATACTTAACGGTTCGAAACCCTGGTTACATGGCATTCTTAACAGCTTCAAAATAATAAAAATAATCTATTTTTTTGAATTAAAATATTTTACTTCCCCTTATAATAGGAGAGTTAATTAAGTTATGTACATAACTTAACCAACGCACATTATTATTACTTTTTGACCTACCCTGCGAATAGATATATTATACTATTTTTAAACCAATCATTATTGAACCGAACCCATAACTTTTTACATAACGGTTCAGGTTGATATTAAGTGCTTCATGGTCTTCTCTACATCAGGAAGTCATTTTACCAACTCCGTGATGCAAAAATTTTTCAGGAGAATTTCGTGTTAAAAACTCACATTTTGGCTGTAAAAAATGATATCTAATTTGATTCTATACTATCGCTAGAGAAATTTTAGAGAATTCTTTAAAATGAACCTGAAAGAGTTATTTTCCCAGTGTATTTGTAAGTTGATCCGTGAGAAGAATTCATTTTTGAATAGTGTTCGTTCTTATATTTGGTAGATTCTATACTGTCAGATAAGACGATACTACGATTATTTGTTAGAGCACCAAATCTATCGAATATAAATAATATATTACATATACTATTATGTTAATGTTATACATGTCGTACTGGATATTTGATATTTAGAATTTCTCAATTTAAAAGATTTACTGAGGCTAAATTTTAAAATTGAAAAATCTAATTTCACCGGAAATATATTCTAACATGTATAGAGAATCTACACTCTAATTTTCAGACAATTTTGCCTAGAACTCATATAAGATTAAAAAATACAGAAAAATTGTACTGCTAAAATTATCTTAAATTTAAGGGGTAGGTATTCTATACATGCTGGAATGCATTTTCGGTCAAATCGTATTTTCGAAATTTAAAAAGCGCCCTCAGTAAAACATAATTTAGAGATTCCAAAACCCCATGAATTCCATATCCCAATACTAAATATCTATACAGTATGTGGATTTATTATATAATGAATTAGCTTTTGATTAATTCACTTGGAATACAAAATAATTATAAGATGGATTAATAAATTATATTTATAAAAAATCCTCCTTAAAAATATAATAATAATAGTAACCTATATTTCCTAAATCTACCTAAATCAGGAGCGTAACCAATGGGGGGGAAAGGGGGAAATTCCCCCCCCATCGCAAATTTGACTATCATAAATATCATTTTAAGCTAATAAAAATTTTACCCCCCCCCCCCCACCAATCAAAATTTTACAAATATTTGAGTATCAATTTTCCAACATATTATTCAAAAATATTAATAAAATGGAAAAATATTTAGTCAAAGAGATTGAAATCAAACGATAATTTATAAATAAGGCTGAGCATGAAAAAAAGTAATGTGTCGTCAGCAGCGATATCATTATTGAATTCAATTGATCAATCAGAGTTTATCATTGCTGCTAGTTTCATCAATAAATTATTTTTAGCTCACTACTTTGTATAAATTTACAAAAACCAGATTTGGTTCAGGTTATTGATTTGGCGGAAAATATACATGAACAGGTACATACAATAAGATAGAATGTAGAAAAATATTTTCATAATATTTATCTAGACGTTGAATCGAAGGTTAAATTTTATGATATAACACTAATTAAACTTCGTCTAGCACCTAGGCCATTATTGAGATGAAAATAAATATTGGCTCAACTGAAGAATATTATAAAATATCCATTTTCATCCCTTCTTAGATACTTTTTTATCGCAAATAAAAGTACGGGTTTTAGATAAAAAACAAGTCCTTAGCAATCTTCAAGTTTTATTACCCAAAGATCCTTCTTCATTTTCTAATGTCACTATTGGTAAAATTAAATATTTAGAAAAATTTTATTCCTATGAGATTTATACTGAAATAAATTTATTCAGTGAATTCGAAATGTGGTATAAATATTTATACGTTTAGCTATTTTACCTGAGCATGCTATTGATGCGCTCAATCGGTGTAAAGAAACCTTGGCTCAATTTTCTAATATTTCGAAGTTGTTTTATATTCTTGCATGTTTGCCTATTACAACATGTACGAATGAAAGGACTTTTTCCAACTTGAGAAGGTTGAAAACATATTTACGAAGTACTGAATCTCGGCTAAATGGGTTAGCTCTGTTAAATATACACAGAGATTTGGTTCCAACGACAAACGAAATAATTAAAAATCTTGTATTTGATAAGAAGTTAAAAAAACTTGTTAATTTAATTATTTTCTAGTCAATATTTTAAACACACTACTATTAGTATTTTCAATAAAAAAATTATATTCTACTTATATTGTATGAGAATTTAAGCTGAGGCTAGTTTTTAAAGCAAATTTTATAAAAAAAATAACATTACACTTTATTTCAACTTTACATTTAAAAAAACCTTTACATTTAAAAAAACCTTTACATTTAAAAAAAACCTTTACATTTAAAAAAAACTTTACATTTAAAAAAACCTTTACATTTAAAAAAACCTTTACATTTAAAAAAACTTTATTAAATATAATATACCTAACTTGAAATAATAAAAAAGAGGCTTGTAATATCCTATCCATAAGCACGAATTAGTAAATAATAGTTTAAAATAGAAATATAATTCCCCCCCTATAAGAAAATCCTGGATACGCCACTGACCTAAATCATAATAAAATATGAAACTAAACATAAAAAAAATACCTTCTTGACTCATAATCATAAGAAGCTCTTAACCGATTATTCAAACGCCATAAATACTTATTTAATAATATAAAAAATCACAATAGCAAGTGGTTTTTATGTTATATTATTTCGGATATAAATAAAAATTTTAATTATAATTAGTCATTTATAAATAAATTGTGATATTAATAATCATAGTAAGTCTGTGCAATGTCTGTCAAAATAAGATAATTCCTTGTAATTATTTTATTTTTGGTAATTTTAAAGGTAGGCTAAAAAAATTTAATATATTTTTAAAAATATTTGGCAGATAAGGTATTGTAATTATGCTTTGAGTTTAGAAATTTAAATATTTTTCTATTATTTAATAATTATTACCTATTATTTCTTAGGCTAGAGAGTGAAGTGATAGTTGTTTCATATTTATGTGCATTTTTAATTTCGTTGTTAATCGCTACTGCATTCATTTTGTTTTCATCAAACTTCTTATCGGAGGCAATATATTTATTCAATGCAATATCGGTTATACAAGTGTTTTCACATTTTTCCATTAAGGGTAACGGATAAAAGTTAGCGTTAATATCGGTGGAATAGCAATCGTTATTAATAGAACTACATGAATGGATATCTAGGTTGTTTCCTAAGCCTGAGTCAGTAGTAGAAGAGTTTGAAGATTCTTTGCATTCAGTGTCGTGGCAATAGTCTTTTCCGACAAGTCTGTATTTTGAAGCCAAATCTGCGCAAGGAGACTTGATCGCTGTTAAATTACTATTAATTTTGGATTTATTATGGTGTTTGTTGAGTTCCATAAACGTACTTTGCTCCACAGACGGATAATTTGGATTACTCCTATAGTTTAAAATTGGGTTCAGTGGGCTAAATTTTTCCTCATCCATGTAACTTAAGTAACTCCTAATTCTGTAATTGGAAACGAATAATTCCTTGCAGGCTTCCATATATTGAATTCGATTTTGTCCGCAGATTCTAATTATTTTGATTAACCCATCTCTATACTTTAATTCCAGTTCTAAACAATTTCGTAATTCTGAATTCATTCCTTCGTTTACCTTTTAAAATATAAAATATTTGGATTTAAAAATTTTTCATTCTGAACCAAAAAAATTTATAAGAATATTTTTTCTGTCAGTTTTTTTCCTGAAAAATTTAGTTATCATTTTATTTTAGAAGCGAAAACATCGTTTTCGAATTTATTTATTGAATATTTTTATATTTTTCAAATCCGGTGCGATTTCCATTTTTGAATTTAAGCTCCACAGCCTACCCAATTTTTTTTCTGAATTTAAACCCGAGTAGGCCTCTTTGTTTAAAAAAATTTAAGATATCATTACAAATTACATGAAATAGATAAAGCTTAATTATTATTTTTTAATTAAATTTTCTTTACCTTTGCATAGGGATAAGAAAAATGGAGGTATTACAAACTTGTTCGCAAATATTCCGAATGTTGCTAATACGAATTACCAAATATTATTGTGATTCGTTTAGTCAATAAAAAAATATATTATTTTAGAAAAAATCGATAAAATTATAGTTGTATTCAAGTTGTTTTATACTTTCATCATACCTTCAACGGCGCATTGAAATATGGACTGGACAATACAAATAAACATTTCTAGGCCTTTATAAAATAAATTAGGAGTTAATAAACACTTGAAACTATTAATAATTTAGTTAAGATAATTTAGATTCTTTGATAAAATATTTATAAAAAACGCGAAATGAAAAAAATTGGCAAATATAATTTTATTTTACTAGTAAAATATTAAATCCTTTTATATTGAATGTATAAATCAAATTCTGTATTTATTTATTATATTTTTTTTCTGCCATAGAATAATTGGTTTTTTATTTCTTTTTCTTCATTTTAAAAAATATGTATTAATTTATTTTTCAAATATAACATTAGGTGATTTTAATTTATAGCATTTCCTATCTTTTATTTTCTTAAATTTATAATTAAAATTATTAATAATTTTCAAAAAAATTGAAATTTTTATCAATTTTTCTAAATAAATTGTAAATAAAGATTCATTGTTTCAACTAATACGTAAAAACCACTCCTGAATATCACTTTTAGGCGAAAATCCTATTTTAAGAGCCAAATTTTGGGTAGTCTTTTTTATTGATCATAATATTATAACACTATAATTTAAACATTTTGCAGGGTTGGGGTCAGCAGGGTCTGGTCTGTTCCACCACATCTAATTAATTATTTATTAATTTTATTATGTGTGATGTCACATAAGACTAATTTTTCTTCCATTATAAAACAAGCTGTATTAAAGATGATTAAGGACTTTAAAAAATCATATCGATTTGTATTTTTAATAATATTTCAGTATCCTAAAAAAGATTTTCAAAACTATAAATTTTAATATATTCTAGAGATGCTTTTGCAAGACCTTCATATAAATTATTCTTTATAATCTAATCATAACATTTGTATGAAAAATTTCAATTAATTGGAAATTATATCAATAGATTTCTTTTTTTGAAAAAGCAATCAAATTGTTTGTAAGCAGCATTAGAGCCCTGCAGCTCGAACTCGGGCTTAAAAATATTCCATGCTTAGGTTTAAAAAAAATTATTCAAACGGGTTAGGATAGGCTCGGGTTTGAAAAATATAAAAATTAACATAGAAAATTATAAGTGTAGCCTTAAATTTCATTGTAAATTACTTTATAAATAATTTATATATATAACCCATCATTCTTAATATAATTTTTTATTATACAAAATTTTTACAAATTTAAATCAAAGAAATTTAAATGAATATAAAATATAAATAAATAAATAATTGCACTGAAAAAAATTTACCATATAATTATTTGCACTAAAAATAAATCATAATATTATATAATTTGTATAGAAAAGATATATAAATATAATAACATTTATTTTTCATAAAATTTGAGCTTGATAAATTTTAATGTGACTTTAATAATAAATTTTTTCAAAATTTGTGCTAGTTTTTTTCCCCTTAAATAAGCCTCACAACACTAAACAAACGTTATTTAAATGAATTTTACTTAGCTGTGAGTTGATTTCTCAAAAAACAAACGTTATCTATAAGAATTTCATGTAGGTGTGAGATTATATTGAATAAATAGTAATTTTAAATTTGAGAAATCATCTCATGATATTATACATTAATCAACATATTTTTATAATTATATTAAAAGTAACTAGTTACTTTGTTGTTACATTCTAATAAATGTAATTATTTACAATCACTAGTTATATTTTTCAAAAATTTTCGCAAAAATGTAACTAGTTCCTTAGTCCACTTAAAAGTCATCACTTCTCTTTTTTTTATTAAAATAAATGATAATTTATATGTGATAAAGACAAAACAAGATTTTTACATCATAAAAACATGTTTAATTAATTTTTTTTAATAACAAATATTAGGCCGGGCCTAAAATAAAATTCCTGGATAACCCTCGGGTCTTGTAGGGCTTTAAGCAGTACTAGTTTTTAATTTTTATAAATTATTTTAAAAAACCATTTCCTAGAGAAAAAAATATTTTGAGTGTGGTCAATTCAATTTTTCGGCAAATTTAGCACGCTTCCTTTTCTTTTATCGGAGCAGTGACCACTGTTAGTAAGTATTGCTTAAAAGTCGTTTTCTTTATTTTATATTATGATTTTTTTGTGATTTTATAAATTGATGTGAGAAGAAAATTAAAAATATAAGAACCAATGTCATATTTATATTGATTACATGGATAATTAACAATAATATAATATATTTTTTTAAGATTATAAAATTATTGGATTTTGGATTAAAAATATTTTTAAACATCTAACTACAAATATATAATACGAATATTTAAATAAAAACACATTTTTAAAATTAACCTACATTACAATACTTTTAACATACTTTTGAAAATAAAGGGGGGATTAAGCATGGTAAACTTTCACTTTAAATTTTTCAACATTTTTTAAATATATATAGATAAAAATTGTAATTTAGATTAGAAGAATTTTTCACATTTATATTTGATAGTTGAACAAAAACAACATTGAAATTTTAAATAAAATTTATGATTTTATTCTATTATCTTAAGATATCAATGCGAAAAATCTCAATGTTATTTGTAAATTGTAATATATTATTTTCTTTTCTTCCTTATTATATTATATAATAGGTAGGACAATAGAAGAATATTAATTAATCAATTTTTTATATACTACTAAAAAGATTTATTAGTTATTATAAATCCTTTTAAAAATAGGGTTTATCGGGATGAAGATGATACACTGTTGTCGTTTGGGAGCGAAGAAAGCTTTACTTAGATTTAATTCAGCAAAACCATTTTTTTGGTTAATATTAAATTAAAAATTGACTATTAGCAGTGAAGTCACTGGCGCTGGCTGTGATACTTTTTTTTGGATATTCTTTAATAATATTATTTGTTGCATAAATATATTAAATGAAATATCATAAACGTTAATTTCACACCTTTCTTTAAAAAATAATATTAAAAGTGTGAAATTAATATTTTTTCATAAATATAATATAATAAAAAATATTATACTCACATACCATAAAATTGAGATCTGCAAACCCTGGCCCATTTGAAAGCCAGGCACTGATCAGGCCGCGGTTTTATAAAAAAAATTATGGGCAGGGCAAACAATTTAATAACCTGTAAGATAATTTTCGGGATAAAAATTTTGAAATATTACGTAATATTTTGATTTATACTATTTAAAAATAAATTACTATCCTTATTTCTTTGCCAAAATACCAAATCTATAAATAATATTATAAAAAATTCGGAAAAAATTATGATATTATATGATACGATTACAAATGCATAATAGAGATACAAACACGACTGATTTACAAAACGGTTGTTGTAGAATAGAAATAAATAGCCGTAGAAGCTGCATAAGAGCCATAATTGACATTGGGGAAAAATTAGATATAGTACAAACGAATTTAAAAGGCCTGGGGGGGGGGGGGCTTTTCGTAAAGCTTATACTGACCTGACCTAACTTTTCTTAAAATTGGTACGGGCTGAATAAATTGATTAAAAAATCATAACGGGTCGGGTTAATTTTTTTAAACGGACCGGGTCTATAAAATAATTTTTTGAGCCGTGATAGTCACCTTGTGCAAGCATTTTTGACAGGTCAAACCGGGCCGGGCTTTGAAGATCTATGCTATGTAATAAATAATTTAAGTTTTTTAGGAATTGGGATTCGCTCCACACTAATACTTTTATCATCAGCATACCTTACTAATACTTACATTATCACCATTTATTTCTACCAGACTACGAGCATAACCCTGACCGCATTATGGATAATACAGACAGATCCATCTTAAGTTCTTTAGAAATGAAACAAATTTATCTTAACAGTGAGACCCAATTCGTCCTCCTGGGATGCATCTATAGTCACTTTAAGTAACATATCTCTTAACGAACGTTCAAGTAGAAGAGAATTCTCATTTCACGATTTTAAAATCCAAAATAGGTTACGAATGACTAGAAACCATTCCAGTTCTAGGTCTGCATGGACGGTATTTCGGGCAAAAAAATTTTTAAAAACGGGCAGGCGAGTGAGCGGATTAAAAATTTTTTAAATTATGGGCGGATAGTGGGCGGGTTAAGAAATTTAAACAATGAGCAGGCGGGTTAAAAAATTTAAACCATTTAAGTAAATATTAATAAAACATTGTTCCTATGAATTTTTTGGATATTAAAAATTAAAATGTCCTTTTTTGGTATCATAGAAACTTTTTTCTTAAAATAAATAAACTTTTTTCTATATTTAAAACTAAGGTGGAAACGACAAGAAAGAGATTTACCAAAGCTATCAAGATTAGCAAGAAAAATATTAGCAATTCCTGCAACTAGTGCTTTTCTGAACGAGGATTTAACATTCTGGAAGGTTTTCAGAACAAAGAAGAACGTGTTTGAATCCAGAAAATGTCGATTCATTATTATTTTTGCATTATTAATTACATATAATATCAATTTTATATATATATTATTTTCATAAATATATTTGATCAAATAAATTATCCATAATTTAAATTGAATATTTTTTAATGCTTAATATAGTAATTTCCTAAAAACTTTTGTAGAGGTGTAATGCTGAAATTTGATGCTTAAAAAATTGAAAAAATGGCCATAATTAAATTTTATGATAGCAGGCTTGGGTTAAAATTTTTTATAAATAATGGGCGGGCGGGTAAGGAATTGTAAACTAATGGGCGGGCGGGCCTATTTTTTTTTGAAAACTATGGGTGGCCTGGATGGGTAGGTTAACAATTTTTAACATTGGATGCAGACCCATATTTCTAACCTCGGCGTCTTTCACGCCTAAACAACTAAGATTGTCAATAGCCCTTCGCCTGAACTGTGATGCAATAATACCTACCAACTGCACAGACTATGGACTTCCCATTACATTAAAGTCCACCACCTCGCTGCATATATTCTCTAGAACGTTACTCTCATATTTCGGCCATCATTAATATACATTTTAAGTTTCTCAATAAGGCCAAGTTCCTTTCCATCTTTGATGGTATCACACTTATCCCATGGACTCTCTCCCCCTTGGGATT